ATAAAAATGCTTCCAGAAGATGTTTGACTAAGAATGTTTCTGAGTAGCCAGGTATGGTGATGTACAGCTGTAATACCAACATGTGGGATGGAGAAACAGAAAGATGAGGAACTTAAGGATAACTTCAGCTACATAGAAAGGCGAAGAAGAACCTAGACTGTAATGGAGCCTGTTTCAAAAAACACTAAGAGAAATGTTAAACTATCAGATACCAAATTTGTTAAGTAATTTACAAGAGGAAAACAGGCTGAATCGACTGTTTTGAACATAGTGACATGTGTACCCATATGCTCAGAATTTCTTGCTGACTGGGATGAAAAAGGTTGGACTGTTCCCGTTTATGTTTAAATATATATATATATATATATATATTTAATTTATATATAATATATGTTTAAATATATATGAGCACATGTATCTAGAAGAGGTCATGAAAGATATACTGAATTTGGGGCTGGTAAGTCATGGCCCAAATAGCAAATTCTGCTTGCTCAACACAGCACTATCAGAACATCGATAGGCCCACCCAGTCAAATGGTATTGAGGATTACTCTGGGGCCATAAGAAGCAAGCTGAAAAGCTAGGACATAGACTATGGATCTCAAAACCCCAAATAGTTACTCTTTGTCCCTTGATACAAATATTTGGCGATGCTTGTAATAAACTATGATTAGGACAGCTTGTCTTTTCATCTATATACACTTTATGTACCATTTGGTTTTTAAAACAGGTATTTTTACAAATGTGAATTTATTTTTAAAGCACTCGTTAAAATATGAATTCAGAAGAAAACTTTGGACATGTTGTTTATTTTTAATCTCTTATGGACTATCACGTGAATAGGCTTGGCCAAAGGAAGAACTTTCCAACAGTATTATATGGACACAGATAGTGAGGAAGGGGATACTCAGTTCTCTATTAGTGGAAACATGGATGATATCAGAGACCCAGTCAAAGTGAGCTGTATACAGTGAAGCAGCACTTGCCCTATGTAGAACGCTAAGGAACAACAGTGTCACCTGAGCACAACAGAAATGCTGTGGTGTATGGTTTTGCCTAGGAGGCTGAGGCAGGAGGACTTCAACTTTGAGACCATAGAGGTAGCTTAGGACACACCGTCTCAAAATGAAGAAAAGGCTGGAGGTGTCAGCTGAGTGGTAGAGTGGTTATCTAGAATGTGAAAGATCCCAGGTTTAATTCTCAGAAATGAGAAAAGAACCATCAAACTGAAGGGTGAACATAAACCCAACACTTTGGAATACATAAGCTACATACTGGAGATGGACAATATGACATCAACATTACTGTCACATGCCAGATATTCAAACGAAGGATACCGTATCTGGGTTATTCCTCCCTAACACACTTATGTACTAGAATTGGAAACAGATAAAAAAAAAAGTAAGTCTGGAGTTAGGAGAAAAACTTCAAGAAGGGGCTGGAGAGATGGCTGAGCTGTTAAAGGTTAGGCTCAACCAAAAATACAAGCGTTCGGTTCCCAGCACACACGGCTGTCTCTCCAGTCATTAATGGTGGAATTTTTTTCTTTTCTTTTCTTTTCTTTTTTTTTGAAACAGGGTTTAATGGTGGAATTTTTTTTCTTTTCTTTTCTTTTTTTGAAACAGGGTTTCTCTGTGTGTAGCTCTGGCGCCTTTCCTGGAACTCACTCTGTAGCCCAGGCTGGCCTCGAACTCACAGAGATCTGCCTGGCTCTGCCTCCCGAGTGCTAGGATTAAAGGTATACACCACTGCCGCATGGCCTCTCCAATCATTAAAACAAACAAACAAACAAACAAAAAAACCTTTAAGAAGGAGGTTATCATATGAAAACAACTAATTTCCCACTCTTCCTTTTGATAACCATTAATTCCATCCAATTAAAATGCAGTATGTTTTGCCTATAATAACATTTCAGTGTCATGATTAAAACCTAGAGTAACTTTCTAACAAGCAGAGTTGCTCTATTTCAGCACTACCAATATTTTGCTCAGCTAATTCTTCATTGTGCAAGACTGTACCCTGTAGGATGACTGGTAGTACCCTCTGCCTCTTCACACTGGATACCTGTGAACTGCTCCCAACTATGATGACTGAAAATGTCTATACATGTTAGACACTGTTATACAAATCATCCCCAATTCAGAGGCATTGCTCTAAGCTTTGAATAAAAACTTATGCTCTTGAGTCTAAATTATACATCTTGCAGGCCTGATCTCAGCTTGTGGTACAAAGCCATAAACAATACAAACAAGCACACTGTGTTCCAACAAAACTTTATATTGAAAAAATAAGATTTTAACTTCATATGATTTTATATATCACGAAACATTTTCTTCTTTATAATTTTATTTTTATAATTATATTTACTTATTTACTGTGTGTGCATGTGACTGTGCATGCACACACATGCCACAGAGCACATGTGGAGGTCAGAGGACAACTTCTGGGTCCCAAGGACGGAACTCAGGTTGTGAAGCTTCGTGGCAAGCACCTTCACCTGCTAGGTCATCTCACCAGTCCTTCTTTGGCGTTTTAAAAGAACTAGAGACTGAATCCAGGGTGTTGTATGTGCTTTAAAAATTCTACCATAAACTACAATGTGATGCTGAGACAGGATCTCGTCACCCACGCTGACCCCAACTGAATTACAGGTGTGCCACTATGCCTGGTTCAGATGGTGAATTTTTACCAAAACAGCTGGTAGATTAGGACTGGATTTGACAAGTGTGTAGATCAATCTGGGGAGAACTGAGACTCTAGCCCCCTTGGGTATCTGATCCATATATAGTAAACAGTTTCATTACAAAGGGTTCACTCCATTTCTTCAGAGGTCATTTTTCAGAGCAGACACCTTGTCCACCTTCTATAAGTTAGTCCCTAGTAATTCACATTTTATGCTATTACAAAATAACACTGTGACTTAGCTTCTGCTTTTTTATATCATACAGAAATAATCTTGATTTTTATAGATTGAGTTTATATCCTGAAACCTGACTGATTATAGGAGCTTTTAAAGTAGATTCCTCAAGATTTTCTACATTTGTGAATAAAACTATTTTACTTCTTCCTGTCTAGTCTAGATGAATTTTCAACAAATACTAGTTTATAATTGCTAAGAATTAAAATTGTAATCTTAACTTTCATTGACAAAACAATTAAATCTGTCAGCAACTATGTCCTGTTTCTCATTAAAAAACATTTCTGGAGATTATAAAATGTTACTAATCTACAATCTGGATTTTTCTTTAAGGACAATCAAGGTTTTATTGAAAGGTAGAGTCATAGCTTTCTGGAGGGCTGGATGTCTTTTGTTCACTGGTATCATGCCACTACATGCTAGAAACCCAGCAGAGCCTGGCAGAAGTGCTGAGATGAAAACATTCCATTTCACTGTTAGTATAATGTTAACTGCGAGCTTCCCATAAGCGGCAATTACTATATGAAATAAGGACCCTCTTACAACTAAGTCAGTGAGTTTTCATAAGGAATGGAGGTTAGACTTGGTGCAGAGGCTCTTTATCTCTGGGAACAGACAGTGAGAGACAAGCAGAGGACTAAGGAGGGCTTCCAGGCCAGGTGAAGGGGAGCACTAAATAAAGATACCTCACTCAGCTGCTGACTTGAGAGGTTGTGGAAACTGCTGGCCTTGCCTGGAAGGCCTACCTGATTTTGAACCCTCTGGACACAACCCCTGTGGTGACTGTGGAGGTGATTCTTTTCCTGTCCAGGCTACTGCACCAGCCTGTCACAATGCTGTTGCCAGACCAAAAGTGCCTAAAAACCTATTTCTCAAATTTGTTTCTCAGCTTTACTACATACAGGGATCTGAACTATTCTTGAAATCAGCTGAATAAGAGTTACTCGTCCTAGAGCTGAAAGGATGGCTCCTTTGGTAAAGCACTTGCCTTCTAAGTGTGAGAACATTGAGAGTACCCAGAAGCCACATAAAAAACAGGATACACTGATATATTTTTGTAATCCCAGAACTAGAGGTGGGTCAGGAGGATCCCTGAGGCTCACTGGCTAGGCAATCTGGCCTTACTGGTAAACCTCATGCCAATGAAAAACCCCCTCTCAAAGGAGGTGAACAGCATTCCTGAGGATGACCTCCACATGCCTGTATGCTCATTCCTCCACATGTAAAGCACCACCCTCCCCTAAAAATAAAAAAAGTTCAAGGCTAGGGAAATGGCTCAGTGGGTAAAGCGCTTATTGCAAAAGCATGAAATCTTACATCTGTAACCTTAGTTAGTGCTGGGAGCAGGGTTGGGGTGGAGACAGACAGATCTCTAGATGCTGGAAAGCAATTAGAGCCAATTGATGAGCTCTGGGTTCAGTGAGAAACCCTGTCTCAAAAGATAAGGTGGAGAGTGACTGAGGAAGCCATCTAGTGTTGATACCTTGTATCAATATGCACAGGTGCACACACACATGCACCTCCCTACACACTCTAAAAAGAAAAAACAAAACAAAACAAAAGCATAAAGTTATCCTCTCAAGGAAGATGCTGTTTCACAGTACTTTTATAAAGGATAATCATGCACTGTTCCCCAGCAAAGAAAAGTACAGGTAGTGATGAAATAACAGAAGAGGGATGGGTGATACCCTAGCAGACAGTTGTGAGAAGCCATTGCCCAAAGTCTACAGCACTTTGGGGAACAAGGGCATCTGCTGCTGCAGGCACTTGCATTTTACTGGAACAAAGCCACCGTCTCATACCATCTATGGTGGATTCTAGATTACAGTAGCAGAACTGAGTACTTAGGACAGAGAACAAATCATTTACAAAGGTTAGATATTTACTATTTGGCCCTTTATAGAAAAACCTGGCTCAGACCTGGTATAGATGTAGATATCCCAAAATCTGACATGGCAGTGATATTTCAGGATTCACAACACTGTTCTTCCTCAAAGCCTTCCTGCTGTACATAAGACAACTAGGTCAATTTTCAGAAGTAAAAATGTAGTCACTACTAACTTGAAATTTTGTTTCCTTTTAGAAGTTGGTGAAAAAAAAAATCAAACATGAAACATGCAGTCTTGTTTTGTCTCATTCTGCTTATCATTTTCCAAACCGAGTGTGAACAAAGTACTAGGAAGCAAAGGAGGAGGGTACATCAGAGAAGACTCAGGAAGAGTTCCTCACTCCACCACAGAGCAAAGGGGCAGCTTGAAATTCAACAGACAACTGCGGCACCAGGAACTAGGTTACCCACTGTGAACTTGGATTACAGTGTGGAGGAAAACTTAGAATCCCTTCTAAGTTCTCTTGGAGTAGAATCAAGTTACAATGTGTTACCAGGTAAGAGAATGCATGAGGGAGAAAACATTTCTATGAACTGAACTCTACAAAGGGAAAAAAAATAAGTTTTTGTGCTACCTTTTGATAGATAAACACAATTTTAAAGTAACTTTAAAAAGTATTCAAGGGGGCTGGAGAGATGGCTCAGCTGTTGGGAGTACTGGTTACTCTTCCAGAGAACCCAAATTCAATTCCCAGCAACCACATGGCAGCTCATAACTGTCTGTGGCTCCGGTTTCAGGGGATCTGACACCCTCACAGACAAACAGGTAGGCGAGACACCAATGCACATAAAATAAATACAAATCTTTAAAAAAAAGTATTCTAGGAACATACTTATACAAAATTATTGGGAAAAATTTATTTCACAGTGTAAAATTGTAATTGTCATATGGGTGCAAGTGATCATATTCATAATGTAAACAATATATGTATCAATTAGTAAAATACCTTTCATTCTTTATGACAGCATTTAGAGTAGAAGCCAATCAAATGACTTTGACACAGGGCTACTTAAATATTTTCAACACAAAGTTATGTTAAGTAAAAATGGAACAAAAGCCACTGAATTTATTTTATACAGAATATTGACTTTTTTTTAAAATTTTGGTTTTCAAGACAGGGTTTCTATGTGTAACAGCTCTGACTGTCCTGGAACTTGCTCTGTAGACTAGACTGGCCTTGAACTCACAGAAATCCACCTTCCTCTGCTTTCTGAGTGCTGGGATACCGACTTTTTAAAGAATGAAAAAACTAGAAATTCTGCCAAAGAGTTCAAGAAATTATTTATTGAAACTAACATTTAATGATTAACAGTTTTTTAAGTTTGGAAGAAAAAAGTAAATATATTATAGTTTTATATATGTAAAGAGTATATATATTATATATGTGTAAGTTTATTGTTACCATTAAAAAAACTTTGAAAAGACAAAAAAAATCAGATAATCCTCTGTAGTCAGTATTTCATACCCTGTTTCAACATAGCCATTAGTTTTATTCTTTCATGGAGTTAACAGAAACAAAATTATATGAAAAAAAGGAAATTAGGCTATATTTGCTAAAAATATAATGACAAGTGCATCCATTAAGTGTTAAGAACAATAAAGATATTTTAGTTAAATGAAAAGCTAGTTAAGTTATAAAAGGAAATTAAAAGCCCCCAAACTAGAATGCATAATGTGATTTCACATACTTAACATTCCATTTTTAAATTTATGTATTTATATTTTTATTTATTATTTGTGTGTGCAAGATATATGCATGTGTGTGGGTGCCACAAGTCACAGCACATGTAAAGGTCAGAGGATAACCCTAAGAAGCCAATTTCCTCCTGCCATGGCAAGCACTTTTACCCACTGAGCCATCCTTGCTGGCAAACATTAAAAAATGAAAGGTACTATTTTATTTATTCAAAAAATATTTAGGGACTGGAGAGATGGTTTAGTGGTTAAGAGCTCATAGTGCCCTTGCAGAGGACTGGAGTTTGGTTCCCAGCATCCACACTGGGTGGCTTACAACCACCCATAATTCTACTTTTAGGAGATTCTATATTTTATTCTGGTTTCCATGGGCATTGTACTCATATGCAAAAACCTAAATACAGACACACAGTTAAAATAAAAGAGTTTTATTTTTAAAAATCAGCATACAAAGTATTAGGTTTCATTGTGGCACTTTCAAACATATTTCTGTTGATCTTCTCACCTTTTCTCTCCCACCCCACTCCTGAGACCCTCTCCCATGCTTTCATTTTACATGTGTTCCATTACCTTCTCATTTTATAACCTATTCTAATACTCACACCCATATATACAGAGGTATTACATAAACACACATATAAAAATTAAAGCAATTAACACAAGAGAAAACAGATGGATCTAAACAATACTACACTGGGGTTGAAGAGATGGCTCAGTGGTTAAGAGCCCTCGATGTTCTTATAGAAGAACCATGGTCAGTACCCAGCATCCAAGAGGTGCTTAATAACAGCCTGTAATTAAAGTTTCAGGGGATGCTTCCTTCTGACTTTTGAGGGTGTGTATGGTGCACATATATACACGCAAGCAAAACATGTACACACACACACAAATAAAAAATCTTAAATAAAAATTATTATATTGAGGTAATTCAGATTCAGAAAGACAAACTACCACATGTTCTGATATGTAGGTCTGATTTACTTTTTTGAGATGGGGAGTTCCACTATGTTGCCCAGCTTGTCTTAAATTCCCAGGTCACAAAATCCTCCTGCCTCAGCCTCCTTAGTTGGGACTACAATAGGTAAAAGTCATTGGCTTAAATTAAAACAGAAAACACACCACCAATAAGCTGAGTCTCAGCATGTCAAGATTGCACATTTTTAAGTAAATAAAAAAATGGTTGGGTTTTGAAGGTTGTTTGTCCTGTGACAAAACTTAGCCTACCTTGACAGATACAAAATAGATAGGAAATTCAAGGTCAAGTTACTAGGAGGAACTCACTCAGCAGCAAAAAGGAAAGCCAATGAAAAGCATTTCAGACAGCAAGTCTGCAGGGCATTTAATCTGTGCATGGTTGCATACAGACCTCTATTCTCAGGTGGTTGTATCATTTTGACTTCACATTGTATTTCTGTCCATTCATGGATTCTGATAATGGTTGAAGACATTAAGTATGTGTTCCTGCTAGAAATGGTGGCATACTCTTTTAATCTTAGCACTCAGGGAGCAGAGGCAGGTGATTCTCTTGTGAGTCCTAGGGCAGCCGTCTACATAGTGAGTTCCAGGACAGCCAGGATTACTTAATAGAGAGACCCTGTCTCAATCAATCAATCAATCAATCAATCAATCAATCAATCAATCAATCAAAGTGTTCTGTTTTTTCTCTAGGAAAGAAAGGACACTGCTTTGTAAAGGGCATGATCATGTACAACAAAGCCGTCTGGTCTCCTGAGCCCTGCAGCACCTGCCTCTGCTCAAATGGAAGGGTACTTTGTGATGAAACTGTGTGCCACCCCAAGACGTGTGCCTATACCATTAAACCAGAAGGAGAATGCTGCCCTATCTGCTCTAATGATGGTATACAATATAAAACAAAGTACCACAGATAATTTAGTCCTAACTTCTATTTGTTTTTACTTTACCATTACATTAAGGTGTAAATTATTATAAATGCAGTCATCAAGGTACTTAAAATGCAGCTCCATGCCAATAAACAAAAATATCTAGGGAAATGTATTTAGGGTACAGAAAGAGATTGTAGCTCTATAGTTCTAATTCTCAGACTGAGTCAAGTTGAATCTGATTCTATTTCATGTGTGATTCTTATAAGGCTTTAGAGGCACAGCAATAGAATTCCTATAGTAAATCCTGACTTTTTAACTAGTTCAGGGTTTCACTTGGGTCTGTCTGTATATGCATCATCCTATTGATTAATTAGTCATTCTATTAATCAAGCTTGTCAGGAGTATACTAATCACTATTATGAGAACAAGGGATGATTTATAATCAGAGCAAAGAAAGCCTCAACCCTCCTGGCTTTTCCTATCCATCAGCCCAGAGGCAGCAAGGAATCCAACAGTGGTCTGAGGAATCCCAGCAAAACACAGAGGTGTGGACTGGCTTGGTTTTCTTGGGTGGCACTTCTATATAGGAGATGATAGCACAGGTTTCAGTGGATGCTTGCTGACCTGCTCTCAAATGAAACTTGTTCCTGAACAAGTAGGGGTGCCCTTTGGAGGGCTTAGGCCTCCTGGAAGAAAGCTTAGCTAGTGACTTATGAAAATAAACAGTTGCTATATCATTTGACAGGTACAGATAAGGACATTTTGTTTTGCCTATATCAAGGCAGATTGTTCTCCCCCTCCCCCACAGACAACCAGAGGACAAGTATCTACAAAAATCCTCCTGCCAGGAGAAACTTCAGAATCGGTTCTTACCTCACACCATCAGTTATTTCTCTAAGGCACTGTACTTTCTTCTGAGATAGGTTCTCACTGTGTAGCTGGGGGCTGGTCTCAAATTCATAGAAATCTCCCTACCTCTGCTTCTGCCATCCAAGTGCTGGGATTAAAGACATGCATCATCAAGCTTGACTCAAAGCATTATACTTTAAAAAAAATGTTAGAAGGTATGCTCACTGAAACTGTCTCCTTGAAGTTTACAAGGCAATTATAGGCAAGATTCAGAATTTCTTAGACATTTTTTCCAAAGGATTTGTAGTCTTCCTGAAATGTAGTTTAGTTAAGTAAGCCTGGACACAGAAAGGATTTTGAAAGTTTAAATATGATACCTTTAGCTTCCATTTACCAATTTCCCCCCTTCTTCTGATTGTTTTGCTACAAATGTAAAAAAAAAAAATCTTCAAGCCAGGTGGTGGTGGTGGTGGTAGCACACACCTTTAACTACAGTACTTGGGAGGCAGAGGCAGGAGGATCTCTGAGTTCAAGGCCAGCCTGGTCTACAGACCAAGTTCCAGGACAGCTAGGGCTGCACAGAGAAACCTGGTCTCAAAAAACCAAAACTAAAACAAACAAAAACAACCTCAGACTTTGTAATATACACTGAATGGATATCACAAGTAACTTTTTCAAATAATGATATTTTTTATTTTTGTGTTCCTTCTGGGGCTAGTTTGTATAGGATTATCAATTGAAAATAAGAGAGACAATTAGATTTATAAATTTTTTTTTTAAATTTATTTATTTATTATGTATACAGTATTCTGTCTGCACGTATCTCTGCAGGCCAGAAGAGGGCACCAGATCTCATTACAGATGGTTGTGAGCCACCATGTGGTTGCTGGGAATTGAACTCAGGACCTCTGGAAGAGCAGTCAGTGCTCTTAACCTCTGAGCCATCTCTCCAGCCCCAGATTTATAAATTTTGATGGAAGAAAATCTATGCACTATGAACTCATTTGTCTTTAGAACTCTTCACTCAAAGTGAGACAATATGGACTATATCTTCTCTACTGTCTGTGAAAGACCTATAGAACAGTTTCTATTATAATGGTACTATCCAATGGTATCAAAGCCTTACAATAAAACTGCTCTCTATTTTGCATAATGTGTTAATATTATTACCCCCCCCCCCTTTTTGAGACAGGGTTTTTCTGTGTAGCCCTGGCTGTCCTGGAACTAGCTGTGTAGACCAGGTTGGTCTCGAACTCAAGAGATCTGCCTGCCTTTGCCTCTCAAGTGCTGGAATTAAAGGTGTGCGTTACCACTGCCCAACTATTATTCCCCTTTTAGTTTACCAATTTGCATCATAGTCTAGTGAAAATAAGTATTACAGTAGTTAATGCAAAAATAGTACTAAGGCTCACAGACACAAAAATCTTGTATCTATAGCAAATCCTACAAAAGAGAAATAAAGTTAGTTAACTTCAACTGCATTTTATCTTTATATAGCAGTCAAGTAGAGGGACTATTTATTAACCTCATTTTCATTATGACCTTTTCCATTTACTAACATCATCAAATCACCCCCCCCCCCCCACCTACTTCATCCTTCTGTGGTCATTAGCCTCCTATTCTCTATTCTCTATTCAGTGGTAGAACACTAAATGAACACTGAATTTTCTGGTGCTTCTTCAGAACAAAGAGAATCCATTAACATACTTCACAAGCAAGTGCCACCTCCTCAGATAGAAATGGATCAAGTAGTCATAAAAGAAGGTCTTCAATCTGAGGAGGATGAAGAAGAAATTCAAGAACATGTGGAGCACAAGAAAGAAACCTCTGGGCCTACTGAGCTTCACAGTGATGAGGAAAGAGCAGAGGGAAAGCTGAGGCCTGAGGAGGAAGGGCGGTCAGCACATCAACCACTCTACTATGGACAAGGGGAGGAAGAGGGTAATGAGGAGACTGAGAGGGAAGGAGAGAAGGAAGAGGAAGAGGAGGATGCCATAAGAGGAGATGTGTTCCGGATGCCCTCCAGGGTAATACCTGGTACCCCAAGAGGCAGGCCACGCCTGCCCGGAAGCTGTGCCCTTTCCTACAGGACCATCAGCTGCATTCATGCAGCCTTTACCCAGATCCCACCAATAACAGCTCCAGAAGTAACAAGCCTGGAGCTGGCGGGTAAGAGATGACAACTTATTTTGTGTTCAGATAAAAATGGTGAATTTTACTGCCCTATGAATATTGCTTTGATTTAATAGGAACTGATTTTATTGTCTTCATACAGATCGACTGTGCAGGAGACAGGCACACACTGAAGAATGGCTTAGATTTAGAGCAAACTCTAACCAAATGGTGATTTCTCAAGGAGCATTTTAAAAATTTAGATTTAATGGGGTACACTTTGTCTATGTGATAAAGCTTTATTTATAATGTATAGTTCTACAAGTTTTTATAAATGTGAACACTACCACAGTTCAGATAAAGAATATTTCCATCACTCCCCAAATTCTTCATATCGCCATCTCTCCAGTTGTTGGCCACCACAGTAACTGACCTGTTTTCTGTGTTCACTGATTTTAACACAGAAATAAAGTTTCACTAAATAGAATCACACAGTAAGTAGCCTTGTAGTTAGACTTCTAATGCTTTAAAAATCACTAGTTCATTTTCCTTTATTGCTGAGCAGTGTTCTATTATATAAATCAGCTAGAGAATGTGTGATTTTTTTTTCAGCTTAAGGCAATTTTGTCTGTAGCTGCTAAAACACCCATATACAGATGTTTGTGGGGACCTATACCTTCATTTCTCATTACTCCTAGAAGCAGCACAATAGGCTGAGAGACATGGCAACACATTTTTAGGAAACTTACCCAACACTTTCTAGGGTGGCTGTCCCATTGCCACAGCAGTTAGGGCTATTCCATAACCTCAGTGATTATACCATCAGTTGTTTTCTTTCCTTTGGCTATTCCAAAGAGAGTGTGGTGACCAGACCCTTTGCCCACGTCTCTATCAGGCTACCAGGGAAAGTGCTAAGTAGTGGAGTATTAAGATTTCATTTGTGTGAGTGTCTGGCTTATGGTGCCCTTAGGATGCAGAGGTGAGGAGATCTGGATGGGTCTAAGATATATGTGCAGGAACAGAAGTCTGCAATAGGACACTGCCAGTGTTAAACAGATTGTCAGGTCTCCTAGACAATAGGTTTTCATGTAAAACCACGTAAAGAATTCTAATGCCTAGCAAAGCCTTCTCCTGCAGCCTATGTGGCAGGTATCCTCTGCCTTACAGAAACTCAATTAGTGAAAGACTAAAGTCAGGAAGGGATAATAACCCATATAGGATCATACAGTCTTTCGTTTTACAAGGTGTTTAAAATCACTGATGACTGTACCTAGCCAAATGTTAAGACCATATGGACCAAAAGTCCATAAAACAGATGGATGTAAGAATCCTTTAGCTTGCAGACAAAGGTATACTATCAGAAATGGTTGGGTCTATGAGACAAGATCTTTCTAAGCTTCTTATAAAGAGAAGGAAACAGGGTTGGGGATTTAGCTCAGTGGTAGAGCGTTTGCCTAGCAAGCGCAAGGCCCTGGGTTCAGTCCTCAGCTCCAGGAAAAAAAAAAAAAAAGAGAGAGAGAGAGAGAGAGAAGGAAACATGCTCACAGACACTGAGTGATTTTTCTTTGATTTCTTAGATACAAACAGCATCATGTTTCCAAGTCCAGGGAAATGGCAATGGAAAAATATGAAGGAAACAGTTTCTGTCTTGCCTCACAGAAATACACCTTTGTTGTGAATGCACAATGCTATTAGCCCCGTCCAACAGTTTATTGTAGTTATTTTAAGTAGCTTTATCTGAAACATGAGGTCCTGACCAAGACACACTTTTGACTGTTAAGTTGTCTCATCCCAATCTTGTTATTTTTTTCAAGTATGCATCTGTTTATATATTTTCTGTCCTTGTTCCGAATATTGCTTTCCTTTGCATATAGAGCTCTCTCTTAATATTCATGTATACAGAGACATGCATACTCATTTAAGTATATATGTACATGTCTATATATGCACACTTCTAATACAACTATTGTACATCCTAGGGAATTCAATCATTTCCATTCCGGATGAAGCATTTAATGGATTACCAAATTTGGAAAGGCTTGATCTGAGCAGAAATAATATCACTTCTTCAGGCATAGGTCCAAAAGCATTCAAGGTACACACTTCCATTAGTATGTGACAAGATGACTCCTATTGGCTGTGGTTGGAGGTGGGTGGGGAAGGGAAAAATAAGCAGAAAGGTTTTTAATTGTTAATTTCCTTCTACATTAAGTTTCTTCTCTGATGTCCTTAAACTATAGTCAAGTTTTCTTTTGCTTATAGTTTGTTGCTTTACGTATGTTAAGCTTATGAGAAGAATAGCAACAATAAGATCAGACATAACTAATGTTCTGAATTTAAAGAATAGTTTCTCCCCAGTAGGTGAAATTCATTGAAGTCTGGTCTCTCGGCATGTGAAGAATTGTCCAGTAATAAAGGAGAACATATTTAGAGCCTCTACTAAAATGCTCAGGCCAGTAAAGTGAAGCTTTCTTACTTCCGCACAGTAGACAGAATGTGCTGGAGAATATTTTGGCAGGGAGAGTTTAAAAACAAATGAGCTCGATGAAGATTAGCATGAAATAGATGAGGAGGAGCGAAAGAAAGGACAGCACATGTACAAAGGAAACCTTTGAAGAAAACAGATTTGACTGAAAAATTCTTTTGAAAAAGTAGAAAATACTCATCTAAATCAGAGAATTTCAGGGAAACAAAAACAGAAGCGAGAGAGGAAAGGTTGGTGTGCATAAAAGATCACATAAATTATGTGCTTTAAAGCCATTTGTAAAGCACACTGTATCTCACCAGGCTAATTTTCTCCCCTTTAGATAATATTCTGGGCCCTCCATCTTCCCTTGCAACGAATGACTGGCCTCTTGGATTCTCTCCTAGTTTTCTGGCGTCTAGGCAGGCAGATGGGGGACTCCCCGTACCTGCTTCAAATTCTCCAGCCCTCTGACCAAACAACAGCTGGTATAGAGGGCCATAGATTTATTTTATAATTGAGTGAGTGAGAGAAAAATGTCATAGATTATCTACTTCTTGATCTGGAGATTTTCTGTCCTGGTAAAAATTGGAAACGATTCCTGTGATCCCTGGATAAATCAATCATTCCACATATTCACTTCAGTTCTCTTCTTTTGGTGGTGCAGGAGAGGCTGCAATTAACATACAACCATAAATGTGGAAACATACTGTTCTTAAGGTCAGCTGTTTGGGTGATCATATACAATCACTTGGATTTGAAATTTTTTATATTTTTATTACTTAAAACAACTTTAAATTTAAATATATTTTGATCATTTCTTCCCCTCCAAGTCCTTTGAGATCCTCTCCCCGTTGTCCACCTGAACAGTGCTATTTTATAATCATTTTTCTAGCATAAATATTAGTGCATATGGGAAACTGAACTTTATAAATACATTAAAATTAATTATTAGCATTCACAACAGGTTCAAATTACTGCATTCAGTTAATGAAACTTATTTATTGCTAAGAAGGTAAAATCTCTGGCCTCACAAAATTAAGACTGACCACTATATGGGAAATAGTGTGAAACAGCTGTGACTGAAAAAAAATGGTAATTTTGAGATTTGTTTTTTAAGTTTTTGAAGAAGTTAATGCGTCTGAACATGGATGGAAATAATTTGGTACATATTCCTTCAGAATTACCATCTACACTAGAAGAACTTAAAATAAACGACAACAATCTCCAGGCTATCGATGAAGAAACTTTATCAGGTATTTAAATCTTGTGTGCAAGATTTCACAGTATTACTAAATGCATAACTAGAAAATTTTAGGTTACTTCACCATTAAGTTGATAAGCTAACTTTAATCACTTACCCAAGATATATTGCCTCCTATTGCCTTTTCAATGTCCTGCTGTTTTTTAAAACAAAAAATGTTTTAATCTTAAATAAAACTTTTTCTTAATGATGTCAGGTGTTCATCACTCACAGCACAGTAACTCTCTTACAAGCCCGTAATATCTGAAGAGTTTCACTTAATACTCCCTGAGCACCATGTATTTGGGTGACTCACTGTATCGATATGCATCGCTACTTCATTTTCTGTATGCTGGAATCTCAATCCAAGTGTATAAAATTCTGTGTAAAGAAGGAATGAACATGCACGTGTGAGAGGCAGTGCTGTTAGACAGTAGGGGCAAGAAACCTCACAGTAGCAGCCTCGGCAGCCCTGTTCTGGAGAGTGTGTGAGTTGAAGTCCTGCTAATTCCGTACCCCATGATGCATGAAGTGAAGCTGTCACCACAGCTTGGCTTTCTGATGGACAATTCAGTGAGGAGTGTCTAAACATGCCAGAGTGGGCTCTTTTTCTTCTTTCTCTAGTGATATGTAGAACTGCAACTACACACAAGTGTCATTTTGTACAAATTCCGACACCTTTGATTAGCTTGTGAATTCCCTTAAGACAAGACTGCTTAATTTTCTTTTTCATCTTCATAATCATCTAGCACTGCTCTTGAAGTATAATGCCCAACACTTTCTGCTAACTTGAGTTGAAACACAGTTGTTAAGCAATACTGAAAGAGTGAGCATATAAAGGAATAAACAACCCAAGTATTATTTCTGTTAGCTTCCAAAAAACTTCACAGGAAAAAAACACTTCCGTTGATGAGAAAGAACAGTAATTATGAGAATTGCCAAATGTGAGGATTACATAGTTATGGAAACACTCAGTTTCCAGATGGATTTGGATGTGCACATGAAAAACACTAATAAACACAGATTTTGATGGGCTTTGTCATATGGAAAGCACACTGGAAACTTTAATTTCTAACTGCTCTGTTAGACTGAAATGAACACAAAATTGAGAACAAGCATATAAATAGGCTGTATAAACTGGGTTTACATTTCTAGTTGTGCTATTAAAATGGTATCCTATAAAAACATAAATTACTGATTTTTCTTTTCTGAGGCAGGGTCTCACTATGTATTCTAGGCTGGCTTTGAACTTACAATCTTCCTGCCTCAGCTTCTAAGTGCTGGACTTACAGTCATGAGCCACCATGTCTTACTATATACTTCTTATTTTGAAGTTTTTCTCATATATCCCTGAAATAGGTTTTCAGCACACTTTGTCCCCCTCAAACAAATGCACTGTATTTCCAGAGTGTTGATTTATAGTCCTGGGTGGACTGGCCATCTTCTCTCTCATGTCTATGCACTAAACACAGAGGAAGCTGCATCTTTATGTTGGTGGCCAGAAAAGATCTCGTTATGTCTCCGGGTGCCTGGGTTCTTAGTCCTGCTGTGTATTGGCCCCTGAAGTGCTGGATATTCCTTGGCTGGGGCAGCTGTTGGGTTCCCTTGCCTCTGGGTGAGTTCTGCTGCTTGGGTAACAGCTAGCAGGTGAGCCTGAACATGACCTCACCTAGTACTGTGACCCAGCCTTTCTGTGTGTTGCCTCTAAGAGACACTATTCTCTATCCTTCCCTGCAGCTACTCACCGATGGCCTTTCAGATCACAGATGCAAAGAAATGGAAAACCAGGAGAGAAAAGGCATGGCAAAGAAAAAGTCATAACTCTAGATGCTGTAGAACTGAAGGCAGGATGGGCTGGTAGTCAAGAGCTGAGGGAGGCAGGTGTACAAGGGCACACATAACAAGTAAAGGAGACCACCTGAGACACTGAATGTGTGAACAGAAAGGGGAGCTCTACCACGCTAGCAGAGTAAAAGGCAGGGGGTGGGGGAGTGGAAAACAGGATGTGCTTCAGAACATTCTTGTCATGCCTCATGACCAGAACAATCAAACCAAAGTCACTTCACCCTGGCTGCTTAAGTCCATCAGGAACACTAACATGCATGCCATTGTATCTACAATGGGTCATGATCTTACCCACAACAAAGGTCTTTGACTTCTATTTTCTTGTTAGGAATAGTTTCAACAGCAACCTCAGATCTAACCTAACTAAAACGTTCTTTACCCCACTTCACACACAGACAGAGAGACGGACAGACAGACACAAGAGAAAACAGCACAGGAACACAAAGCATTGTGAATTTGTTGTTTCTCAGGATGTCATGTAATTACTGACTTCTATTCTCCACTTTTCAATGGAAAGTGTCTATACTTCAAGATCTCAACCTATATATTAGAGAAATGCTGGATCCTCTGTACCTTTAATTTTAGAAACAAGACACAAAGAAACATAACTATGGATAGTTTCCTGGCTGTCTTACCTACTTCCTGTAACCCAATCCCTGACTGATCCTCAGTACCACCACCAGAATGGTACTTACATGGCTTTTGTCATAGCATCCTCAGTTCTGCATTTAGGTACACAGAGAATGAGAGCCACACCTACATCAAAGGCATTCCCTCTGAACAACAATTTTACCCTGCTGCACACAGCCCACCTCAGGGTGAGGCCTCCATCCATCCCAGCAAGCTCAAACATGCCTTTTATCTGCATGTGCTCACTTGGCTGTTTCAACCTGAAGCTCCTCTTAACTCTATCTAAATCTTTGTATCCATAAGAGACTATTGCTTCCACACCACTCCCATCCATACTACATTCTCTTAAAAACTTCAGGCATTTATTACCTATATTTCCTATGTGACTGTCTTTGCTGTTTCATAGTATAGGCCTGAGCTGCACAGGGTATTCATTGTAATGCTGACGACAGAGGTTGAGCAGGAAAACATCCCATATTTGGGGAATCTTGTCTACACCCTGAACCTCTGACTCAGAGACCCCTGGGTATGTCACTGTTGAGTGGTGCAAGCTCTATCTGACCTAGTCGGTACCACTCCTGAGGCCAGCAGAAACAGTGTAGGGGAAAAAAAATTGCTTGTATAAAGGTCTTCCTTGGTAGTTCAGTCTGAATACATGGAGAGTTCTGATAATCTTTTTTTTTTAATTTTATAAAAAATTTAATTTTACATATCAGCCACGAATTCCCCTGTCCTCTCTCCTCCCACCCATCCCCGCTTTCCCCCAAATCCAACCCCCATTCCCACCTCCTCCAAGGCAAGGATTCCCCTAGGGATTCAGCTCAGCCTGGTAGATTCAGTTGCGGCAGGTCCAGTCCCTTCCTCCCTTCACCAAGTCTGAGGAAAGTGTCCCAGCATAGGCCCTAGGTTCCAGAAAGCCAGCTCATGCACTAAGGACAGGTCCTGGTCCCACTGCCTGGGGCCCTCCTAAACAGTTCAAGCTAATCAACTGTCTCACTTATCCAGAGGGCCTGATCCAGTTCCATGGGGGCTCCTCAGCTATTGGTTCCCAGTTCATGTGTTTCCACTAGTTTGGCTATTTGCCCCTGTGCTTTTTCCAATCATGGTCTCAGTATCTCTTGCTCCTGTAATCCCTCCTCTCTCTCTGTCTCTGTCTCTGTCTCTGTCTCTGTCTCTCTCTCGTCGATTGTACTCCTGGAGCTCCACCTGGGGCTTGGCCGTGGATCTCTGCATCTGCATCTTTCTTAAACAAAACAAAACAAAAAACTAGCTTCACTCTGTGCCAGTCTCTCCTCCTCCTCCTCCTCTTCCTCCTCCTCTTCTGTGACAGCATCTCACTGTGTAGCTCCAGCTGTCCTGGAACATTCCTATGTAGACCAGACTGGCCTCAAACTGTCAGAGATCTGCCTGCCTCTGCCTCCTGAGTGCTGGGATTAATGGTATGCACCACTACACCTGGTACTCTGCTATATTTTTAACTCTCTTATTGAGAGATGGAGGGTTTGTGAGGACAGTGTTTGTTTCTGTGTTACAGAGAAAGGAATCACCATCCCACTGCCTATCACATTGCCAATTCATACCTACAGGTATTTGCAAATGGTTCCAATGAATGTCATGACACTCTTAACTCCTTGTCCACTTGAATTCCAAATCCCTGTTTGGCAAGTGTCTTAATCATGGTTACTATTGCTGTGATGAAATATCATGACTCTCTAGAGCAACTTGGGAAGAAAGGGTTTACTGGCTTATGCTTCTACGGCACTGTTCATCCAAGGAAGTCAGGACAGGAACTAAAGCAGGGTAGGAACCTGGAGGCAGGTGCTGATCAGGGCCATGGAGGGGTGCTGCTTACTGGCTTGCTCCCCATGGCTTACTCAGCCTGCTTTCTTATAGAACCCCGGACCACCAGTCCAGGGATAGCACCACCCGCAATGGGTTGGGTCCTTCCTCATCAATTTATAATTAAGAAAATGCCCTACCAGCTTGAGTTCAGTCTGTCATAGAGGCATTTTCTTTTTTTATTTTTATTTTTATTTTGCAATACAATTCAGTTCTACATATCAGCCACGGATTCCTTTGTTCTCCCCCATCCCACCCCCCTCACCTTCCCCCCAGCCCACCCCCCATTCCCACCTCCTCCAGGGCAAAGCCTCCCCCGCAGACTGAGATCAACCTGGTAGACTCAGTCCAGGTAGGTCCAGTCCCCTCCTCCCAGGCTGAGCCAAGCAATCCTGCATAGGCCCCAGGTTTCAAACAGCCGACTCATGCAATGAGCACAGGACCCGGTCCCACTGCCTAGATGCCTCCCAAACAGATCAAGTCAATCAACTGTCTCACCCATTCAGAGGGCCTGATCCAGTTGGTGACCCCTCAGCCATTGGTTCATAGTTCATGTGTTTCCATTTGTTTGGCTATTTGTCCCTGTGTTTTATCCAACCTTGGTCTCAACAATTCTCGCTCATATAAACCCTCCTCATTTTCACTAATTGGACTCCCAGAGATCTACCCGGGGCCTAGCCATGAATCTCTGCATCCAGATTCCTTAGTAGTTGGATGGAGTTTCTATAGAGGCATTTTCTTAATTGAGATTCCCTCCTCTCAGATGACTCCAGCTGTGGCAAGTTGACATAAAACTAGCCAGTACAAGGAATATGGCCTCTAGAGGTGATCCTTACTCTTCTGTCTACCTTCTGTTTTTTATTGTTTCTGCTCCTTATACATATTTGTACCCTTCAACACCTGAATTATTTCCCCTAACCATAACTCTTGTCCTGGTTGAATTGTGCAGAAGTCATGTATAAAATACTCAGGAAAAGGATTTATTGGGGAAACCAAGATAAAGAAATTATAAATCTCCAAATACACTGAATTTTAAAAAATGGTTTCTTTCCTCTTTTTATTGTTTCTTTGTGCAGTTCTGGGGCTCCAGCCCAGGTCACAGGCAAGTGCTCTGCCACTGAGCTACATCATCAGCCCAAATTGCATGTTTTTAAAGTTATTCTAATATTCAGATAATTTTATTTTTCTAGACTTGAACCAACTTGTCACCTTAGAATTGGAAGGAAACAATCTCAGTGAAATCAATGTCAATCCTTTAGCTTTCAAATCTTTGAAGAGCCTATCATATCTACGTCTGGGAAAAAATAAATTTAGAATCATACCACAAGGTCTTCCTGCTTCTATTGAGGTACTGATATCTTTCTTCTAATTTCTGTTGTGTTTTCTGAGGCAGGATCTCACTATGTAGTTCAGGCTGGCCTAGAAATCATGATCCTCCTGCTTCAGCCTCCTGAGTACTGTAAGTGTAGCTGTGTGCCATTATACTGAACTTCTTTTAATGTTTTATAGTATTATAATCTATAAAAAATTAAGACAAATGTATCCTTTAAATATTATTGTTGTTGTTGTGAGACTGAGAGATAGAGTCATGCATGGGTACAGGCATATATACATCACAATGGGCATGTGGAAGTCAGAGCACAACATTTGGGAGTTGGTTTTCTCTCTTCCACCATGGATTGTTGGGCTCCAATTCAGGTTGTTAGGATTGTGTGGCAAGCACTTATTACCTACTAAGCTATCTTGTTGGCTCCAAAATAAATATCTTAGAAGACTACTTACTGTAATATATATTAAACTCAATAGAGTTCTGGCACTATATACAGAATTCACTATCACCTGAGTATTAGATGCATCTGATAACATGAAAAATGGCAATGATGACAGCTCTCGGTGGTGAAACAGACCGATTAAATTATCCTAAACCAGAGCTAGCAAGTTTAACTACTTGTCCCCTGTCCTACTTAGGGTTTCTATTGCTGTGACAAAACACCATGACTAAAGCTACTTGGGGAGGAAAGGGTTTATTTAGCTTACACTTCCACAACACTGTTCAATCATCAAAAGAAGTTAGGATAGGAACTCAAACAGGGCAGGAACCTGGAGACAGGAGCTGATGGAGAGGCCATGGAGGAGTGCTACTTATTGGCTTGCTCCCCATGGCTTGCTCAGCCTGCTTTCTTTCTTTTTTTTTTTTTTAGGTTTTTCGAGACAGGGTTTCTCTGTGCAGCTTTGCGCCTTTCCTGGATCTTGCTCTCTAGACCAGGCTGGCCTCGAACTCACAAAGATCCGCCTGCCTCTGCCTCCCAAGTGCTGGGATTAAAGGCGTGCGCCACCACCGCCCGGCTCAGCCTGCTTTCTTATAGAACCCAGGACCACTAGCCCAGGGATGGCACCGCCCACAATGGGCTGGCCTTCCCCCATCAATCACTAACTAGGAAAATGCCCTACAGGCTTGCCTCCAGCCTGATGTTATGGAGGCATTTTCTTAATTGAGGTTCCCTCCTCTCAGATGACTTTAGCTTGTGTCAAATTGATATAAAACTATCCAACACATCCCCAATTCACAAATTCTGAGTAAAAGCACATTCTGACCTAATGATAACAATATGGATGGATCTAAGAATTGTACAATAAGGCCTGGACTATTTCATCAACTCTGAAGCTTAGAAATTTTCATCAGTTCTATCTAAAACTGTATTGTGTCTAACTTCAGGCTCCAGATCTTGTTCTTGTTTCAAATCTTCTGGAGTCCCCAGTGGTTCCCAGGAGTGCTCTTTCCCACTCAGGTGGTCTTTAGCCAATAACTGTCAATGCTCATTTCTTGAATTAGGAACACTGAGGTCCAGAGAGTTTATATATACTCACAGACCAAGTTGGAACTCAGGTTTCCGTATCTGAACTTGTTTCTACCACATTCCATGTTCATCTCCCAAGAAGCCAGTATGGAGTTCCTTTAGTGCTATGATCCAGAATAGAGAGCTATCTGTTATGATTGCATACTGTTGCAATCATATGATTGCACTACAGTCCTGCTTCTTCCAGCTGCTAAAGAGACATAGCTAGAGAACGCTGGAGTTTACCAGCACTTGGCTTTACATCAGAATTATCTAGTTGTTTGTTTGTTTTCTTTTTTTTGAGAGAGGGTTTCTCTATGTAGCTCTGGCTGTCCTAGAACTTGCTTTCTAGACCAGGCTGGCCTTGAACTTAGAGATCCATCTGCCTTTGCCCCAGAGTCCTGGGATTAAAGGTGTGTGCTACCATGTCCAGGTAATTTTTTGTTTTAAAATAGGAATTTATTATTCTAGTCTGGGCTTGAACTCTTGATCCTCCTGCTTCTACCTCCTAAGTGTTGAGATCACAGGCATGCACCACCACCATGCCCTGATTTATATGGTACTGGGGATCAAAAGCGTATCCCAACTCTCACCTAAATTATTAAGACATAAACACTTCTGAACCTATCCTTGACATGCTAATTCTTATTCTTTGTCAGCAAAGTCAGATACCGAAATTATTTTTTAAAGACACATTTTAGGGACCTGAGAGATGGCTTAACTGGTAACCCAGCTGCTACAAAATCTGACAACCTGAGTCTGATCCCTGAGACCCATATTGTGGAGATAACTGATAATCTACAAGTTGTCTTTTGATTTCTATACATATGTCTATTCATATACATATATGCACACAAAATATAATACAATTATAAATACTTTGATACATGCAACTGGTAAAACATATACACTTGCAACTTAGGTGACAAAAAAATAATCAATATTCTCCTCCCCATGTCTGAACTTTCCAGCCTGGCTTCTGTCTCTCCAAAGGGACCTGTTTCCACCGATCTTGGAAATTCTGGGCACACAGGATACATTTCATGCTATTTGCTATAAATTCTTTTAAAAACATTGCTGCAGGCCAGCCTTACATCACGGCACATCTTTAGACTGTCACATATCAACTTTCTTATAGCTTCAGAGTCTTCAGTATATGAATGAGTATTCCAGAACCTACTTAAATACCCCTTCCTGTGATTTATTTAGGTTGGAATTTTCTACTTTAAATGAGGTGATTCTGATGTACACTTGAGTTTGGAAATCTCTCATGTAATTTATCCCTTAAGTACACAAGACAATAAAAGCAAAAAGCTAAATGTTCCTTTATGCATTTCTAATAAATGCCAAAATTAAGTTACAAAAGGAAAATAACCATGATATGAATAAAAAGTTACATTCAACATGTAAGCCAATTCTACTTAAGCATTCTAACTATAACCAGAAAAAAATTAATAATTAAGACCCTTTAGTAAAAATTTTTTCTAATACCAGCAACTTTCTTTTTAAAAAAAATTTATTTTATGTGCATTGGTGTGTTGCCTGCATGTATGTCTGTGTGAATGTGCTGGGTCCCCTGGAACTGGAGTTATAGACAGGTGTGAGTTGCCATGTGGGTACTGGGAATTGAAACTGGGTCCTTTGGAAGAGCAACCAGTGCTTTTAACCACTGAGACATCTCTCCAGCCCCCTAATACCAGAAACTTAATGAATGTTAATTTTATGAGTAAATAAATTAAAACTCAAGTCTAAAAACATGAGCCTAAAATAATTATAGAGACTACTGAATAGTGGAAAGCTGGTCTGAAGCTCAGGCTCAGCTAGACCCTCATGCATTAGCCCTGGAACCTAGGGTGAGCATTATTCTCTCTACAGGCCTATCACTGGTGAGTTGTGATTATTTCTACCCCTAACTTTCAGGGCTCTAAAGCTCAAGTAACGTAACTAATGTAAGTTGTTATTTTTTTTTTTTGAGACAGGGTTTCTTTGTGTAATAGTCATGACTGTTCTAGAACTTGCCTTGTAGACTACGCAGGCCTTGAACTCACAGAGATCTGCCTGCCTCTGCCTCCCAAATGCTGGGATTAAAGCTATGTGCCACCAAGTCAGAAAATTCATACAATTATATGATATGCTGTATCATATAACATTATGGCTAAAAAACTAAGTTTAACTGACTGAAGAGATGACTTTGTAAAGTGTTTGCCACATAAATGTAAGGATCCAAGTTTGATTTCTAGCACCCACAAAAAGCTGTATATGGTAGTATGCACCTAGGATGGGGAGACGGGGGGATCTCTGGAGCCCAATAGTTCGGCTAGTCTAGCTGAATCAGGGATCACGAGGCTCAGTAAGAGACTGTCTCAAAAACTAAGGTGGAGAGAGACTGAGGAAGATACCTGATACCAACCTCTGTCCTCCACATGCTTTTGCACAAATGTGTAAAATACATATACATACCCACACTCAAATATGCATATGCATAAACACAAATTAAATTTATTTAATCCCATAATGATAGGCAGTATTTTTTATGTTATTAGCTATAAAATTTGACATCTTAAAAGTATGAACTCACTTAAAAAAGGTAATAAGACTTTAAATAATACTAACGCAAATAGTCTATTTTAGTTTTTGTGAAATTGGATATCATTGCACACAAGTGGAAGAAAAATAATATTTTATCTTATTTATAGGAATTATACCTAGAAAACAATCAAATTGAAGAAATAACTGAAATTTGTTTCAATCATACCAGAAAGATCAATATGATTGTACTACGTTATAATAAAATAGAAGAAAGTCGGATTGCTCCTTTAGCATGGATAAATCAAGAGTAAGTATCTACCACTGTTTAACTTTCTTAACATCTTTTCCCAGGGAATTGTTACTCTTACAAGTTGTCAGTTTAAATGGCATAATCCTCTGCACACAGAGAGGAGTGTTGACTCTCTTTTTCTTCATCACTAGATGGAAATACCAAGCTACAGAGGCCTGACCTGTCTTCCTACTGTCTGCCTTCTTTGGTCCAAACCATGTCTCTTCCTCAAGAAGGCTTTGTTTGAGAGTAGAGGTGCAAAAATAGAATCCACCTTCCTAGAAGGAATCAACAGCCTATTTGTAGTCTTTAGCAAAGAATGAATGAGTTGAAGGCAAGCCCAGTCTGATATCATGTCCAATGGATATGCCAAAACATAGGCTGAATGTTTATACAAGGATATGCTCCTAAGTTGACCAGCTTGGGAAACGGGCTGTTCACAGAGATGAAAAGAGGCTTTGGACCCAACTGGAGGATAATGAAGTCCTTTGTGAATAGAGGAATCTTTATTGGGTGAAAAGGGTTGGGCAGAAGCCCTTGTAGACTCAGGGGAAGTTTCTGAAACAAAGCGGGGAGCTCACCACATTCCAGGACTTCCCAGTGCATTAACACTTCCACATTCCTCCATTTCACTCTAATCCCTTCATCTCACTCCAAGTCCCTGATGTGCCAGATCATAAATCAAATAACAAAAGTACAGGCAACCCCTACCCCACCACAAACCAGGAAACATCGTTACTAGAAATAAAGACTCGTGGATTTCACTTGATTCAACAATTTGAACTTAGTTTCCCCATTTTCCCAAAGGATCTGAGTGGACTCTGATGAACAACCCTAGCTAAGGTACTGTGTGGATGTTGGTAAGAATATGAGCTTCGGGGCCAGACAGGCCCAGGCTGACATATATAATCTGGTTCTGTTTAGGTTCATTAGGATGGCCTGTCAGTCTACTGAAGCTCCTTATCCTGTTGACTTTTCCTTTGTTGCAGAAATCTTGAATCCATTGACCTGTCCTATAACAAGCTTTACCATGTCCCCTCCTATCTACCTAAGTCTCTGCTGCACCTCGTACTAATTGGGAACCAGATTGAACGGATCCCTGGCTATGTGTTTGGCCATATGGAACCAGGCCTGGAGTACTTGTACCTGTCATTTAATAGACTTGCGGATGATGGTGTGGACCTAGTCTCATTCTATGGGGCATATCATTCTCTGAGAGAATTATTTCTGGATCACAATGACTTAAAATCCATACCACCTGGAATACCAGAAATGAAAGCACTGCATTTTCTGAGGCTGAACAACAATAAGATTCGGTAAATTTTGAATTTTTCTAGTGTCAATTTAAATTTTGGTTGACAAATTAAATAATACTCATAATATGAACTTTAACATTTATTCTGAAGAGAAAAACTGGTGCTAAAAATTAGATCTAAACAAAACTGGCAATGTTAATAATTGTTAAAAATGGAATAATAGGTATGTGAAAGATTCATAATGATTTCCACTTTTGTGTTAATTTTGCAAATTTCCACAGTATTAAGTAGAGTATTACTACACAATGTGTGGAGCCTTGGAGACAGACTCAGTTAAGGTGGTAAAGCAGTAAATACACTATACTATAACCCCCATGTACATAAAGTGATCTGCAGCATACAATAATTGCCTGAATATAGAGTTTTATAAAGGTAAATTCTGAATAAATTTCTTGGAACTCATCTTCCTTCACTTTGGAAGGTTTCTGCATGTTTAATCATTATGCCTGCCTAGGCAGCATGAGTGACTAGAAGATTAATCTGGAACAGTATGGAGATAAGTGCAGTGGCATATGCTTCTAATTCAAGCAATTGAGAGGTGAAGGCAACAGGATCAGGAGTTAAAGGCCAGCCTTGGCTACACAGCTACACAATAACATAAGTTCTGTTTTAAATCAACAATTAGGAAGAACTTCCTCACTTTGCAGGTTGTGACTACACTCTTATTGCTTCATTTCTTACAGTTGTGTAGATCTAACGATCTACTTCTACTGTCTTTTTTCCTCCCTTTTGAGACCTGGCATTATTAGACCAGGCTGGCTGGGAACACAGTTGAGCAGTGACGACTATCTTTAAACTCACTGCAATCCCTGATTAAGCTCCTGAGTACTGGAATCACAGATGTGAGTCACTATGACCTGCCTAACTTCATTTTAAGAACGAAAACATTTTTAAAAACGTAACTTCTAAATCCTAAAGTTAGATTACTTGGATTGCTTGTAATTTACATGTCTATTTTTCTTTAGGAATATTCTTCCTGAACAAATTTGTAATGCTGAAGATGAGGACTCTGCTCTAGAACATCTTCATCTTGAAAACAATTATATTAGACCTAGAGAAATATCATCCTATGCATTTTCATGCATAAGACTGTATTCAAGTATTGTTCTTAAACCACAAAACTTCAAGTAATTTCAAGTTTTCTTTTGCCACTTATAAATTTTACTCATGCATTAAAATTACATCTCTTTACTTTGTGTGGGTGGGGTGGGGGTTGGGTTGTGCACTGGAGTGTAATGCCCTCTGAAGCTAGAAGAGGGTGTTGGATGCCATGGAGCTGGAGTCACAGGTGGTTCTGAGCAAACTGATGTGATGCTGTGAACTGATCTTGGGTCCACTGTAAGAGCAGTACCTGTTCTTAACTTCTTGAACCATTTCTCCAGCTCCCCAAACACTATTCTAATGTTAACTTCTTGGTTTAGTTCAGTTTACAGTGGTTATATGCACACTGGTAATGGTAATGAAAGCTAGCAGAAGGGCATATGAAAGTTCTACACTATAAGCCAGAATTACTTTTTAAAGTTTTTTTTTTTTTTTTTTTAAAGGGCATTTAAAGACAGCTTCCATGTCTTCTTCAGCAAGATCAAAAGATTATGAAAAGTAAGCTGGACACACCACCTTTAGTCCTAGCACTTGGGAGGCAGAGACAGGAGGCTCTCTGTGAGTTTGAGGCTAGGCTGTTCTATATAGTGAGTTCCAGGACAGCCAGTGCTATGTAGAGAGACAGAGACAGACAGAGATACAGAGACAGAGAGATAGAGAGACAGAAAGAGACAGAGAGAGAGAAACTATGAAAGTTGTAGTTTGTTTAAAAAAAATACAAATTACTGCTAAGTATAAGCTGAGTTAAATGTAAAAATAACTCATTTCTGAAAACATTCCTCCACTAGTTATAGTTAGCAAACCATCTCTCTTGCCATATTTGCTGAAATGTACTTTTTATCATTTTAATGAACAAAGTAGTATTTATTATACACTAACTTGTAATGATTTCTTCTTATTAATATAAATTTAATTAATTGAGATAGTGTCTTACTGTGTAGCTCTGGCTGGCCTGGAACTTGCCAAGTGCTAGGATTAAAGGCATATGCAACCATGACGACCTCTGATCTCTGTACTGATAAAAAAGTTATAAGATACATACAGAAACTATGCTGACTTCTTTCATTAACTCTCAATTTTGGGATTTGGAGAAACACTAGGCTCACGACTTCATTTCTAGCTTTGGCCACTGCTTTAGCTTCTTTTCCTGTTATTGTGACTCCTAGGTAGGGTTTCTATTGCTGTGAAGAGACACCATGACCATGGCAACTCTTATAAAGGAAAACATTGAATTGAGGGGGTGGCTTACAATTTCAGAAATTTAGTCCATTATCATCATAGCAGGAGGCATGGTGGTGTGCAGGCAGACATGGCGCTGGCTACATCTTGATATGCAGGCAACAGGAAGTGGACTGAGTGTTACACTGAGGGAAGCTTGAGTAAAAGAGACCTCAAAGCCCACCCCCACAGCGACATACTTCCTCCAACAAGACCATATCTCCTAGTAGTGCCACTCCCATTGGGGACCATTTTCTTTCAAACCACTACACTGGGACAAAATACCCTGACAAAAGCCAACTCAAGGAAAAAATGGTTTATTTTGTGATACAGTTTAAGGGCATAGCCCTTCATGGCAATGAAGTCAAAGGAACACAAGACTGAAATAGCTAGTCACACCGTGCTGAAAATCAGGAACTAGAAGCAATAAATGCTTGTGCTCAGGTCAAAGGGAACTGAAACTGAGTATGATGAGCCAATTGAATTAATATTTAAATACAACAGTGATGGGTTATTAAACAATTTATTTCTTATTCTCAAACTTTTTATTTCCAAATAAGTCTCACTCTATAGCTCAGGCTGCCTTTGAACTCATCATGGTCCTTCTGTTTTGGCTTCCCAAGTGTTGGGATTACAGGTATGCATTACCTGTCAAGTTGACTGTAACTTTCTTTCTTTCTTTTTTTTTTTTTTTTGGTTTTTCGAGACAGGGTTTCTCTGTGTAGCTTTGCGCCTTTCCTGGAACTTGCTTTGGAGACCAGGCTGGCCTCGAATTCACAGAGATCCGCCTGCCTCTGCCTCCCGAGTGCTGGGATTAAAGGTGTGCGCCACCACCGCCCGGTGACTGTAACTTTCTTTAGCTGCATTAAGGTGCCACTTTAGAGAGCCAATGATGAACTTAACTGAGAAGCTCTCCCTTTCTGGCAGGGTTACTGTAAGTAGAAAATCAAGTACCCAGGCAAGAGCGCCCATCAGTCAAACAGTAGTGATGCAAGGAGCAGAGCAGCCTAGGCTTCTCCTGCCAGGGCCTGAGAACTCTCAGGGAATGTGTGGCCACAGTTGACAGCCTGCAAGGAAAGGATGGTGTATTCAGCTGCAGACACCTGCCCCAACTTTGTTAAGGTAGCAGACTCTCTCATAAAGCTAAAAATCAGAATGACAGTTGGAACTTTGCCCTGAATTTGGAGGATTCATTTATTTCAACTGTTTTATTTTCTTTCTTTCTATCTTTCTTTCCTTTTTTAAAAAATAGTTTTATAAATGTTTTCAGTATGGAACCTGTTCAGTCTTGAAATTTCATCAATTTCATAAAAATAGTGATAAATGTCCTTACAGCAAACATTCTTCTTGAAATAATGTTGTAACAAACAGCTGTTCAGTCTGGCCTCATAAATCTGTTGTAATCATTAGCACATATGTGCACTAAGAAGTCTTAGACTAGCCATGGTTGGGAAAACATTAATGTTGTGTCTTGACTTTGTACATATGTACATGAAATGCTACCTGTATCCTTAAATTTGAGATTTGGCTTATTGTACATGACGATTTTTAAAAATACTAAGATATGATCTAGTGAAAAACATATATAGCCTGGTGTTATGAAGGAATAAATATGCCAGGAACTAGAGAAGGACCTAAATACTATGTTTCGAATAGATAAGTGGATCACATCATACAAGGCTCATGGGAGATCCAGGTCAATGATAAGGAAGTGAGCCTACCATTCCTCCAAATGAAGCAACTTTGTTTTTATCAGAGAAGTTGGAAGTGGCCATTTGTCAGAGGATAGGCTGAACCTGGCTTGTAGTATAAGACAGAGATAGGAGGACAGTGAAGTCAGAAAGTCCTAGGGTTGGTGGGTGAATGTATGGGCCCGGACACATGTTTTGAGAGTCAGCTCACCCTCATCTCAAGGAACAAGAGAAGAAGTCAAGTTCACTACAGTTTCCATGACTTTATTAGCCTCTGTCTTTCCAAAGCTAGTTTCCAGGCACAGGAAGAACTGTACCTAAAGTCTGACCCTTCCAGACGCTTCCTCCAGTACTTCATGCTATGTTAGCATTAACACTCAGGTCATATCTGAGTTTATTAGTTATGCCTAACTGACCACCTGGTACTTCTATTGAGACATTTCTAGATGTCTTTGTGTACGGGATGTTGCATAGCAGCTAGGTGGGTAGGTATATTGTGTTTTTCCAAATGGACTGTAAAACTTAGGAGAAAACAAAGAATTCAGTTTTTTTTTTAAGTTTGTAATTATATTTATGTACAGAAAACTTAGCAGTGTACATTTAACCCAATTTAGTGGCGAGTTCTTTGGCCTTTGCCTTTTCCAGCTTGGCAATCTGAGCCACAGATTTAGGACCCAGGACGTTGCCTCCCCAGTGGCGGCGGATCTCATCATATCTGTCATTGTAATTGGTCCTAATAGCTTCCACCAGCTTAGCCAGAGCACTCTTGTCTTCCGAGTTAACCTGTGTGAAGGCAACAGTGGTGTATGTCTTCCTGTGGACCAGCCGCCCCAGCCTGGCCTTTCCCTTGATGATGCAGTAGGGGAACCCCATCTTTGGACACAGGGCAGGCAGGAAGACCACCAGCTCAATGGGGTCTACATCGTGGGCAATCACCACCAGCTGAGCCTTCTTGTTCTTCACCAAGGTGGTGACTGTATTGACCCCCGCTCGGAGGACAGGTGGTCCCTTAGTTGGGACGTCCCCTTTGCCAGCAGCTTTCTTCTCAGCACGGGCCAGCAGCCTTTGCCTCTTCTCCTGCTTTGTCTCTGGCCTGTACTTGTGGGCAAGCTTAAGCAGCTGGGTAGCTGTTTGCCGGTCCAGGGCCTGTGTGAACCGGTTAACGGCAGGAGGTACTTTGAGCTGCTTGTAGAGGATGGCTCTTTGCCGCTGCAGCCTAATGTAGCGGGGCCATTTGACCAAGCGTGTGAGAGCTCTTTTGAGCTGGATGTCCTGCCCAATGCCAAAGTTCTTAGGCCTTTTCTCAAACAAAGGATTCACCACCTTTTTGGCCTCCTGTTTCTTCACGACGGCGGGGGCCGGGGCCACCTTCTTCCCCTTGGCCTTCTTTCCCTTGGGCATCTTGCTCGGCTGGAGGAGAGCAGAATTCAGTTTTTGAACCCTTGCATACTGTGCATAGTAGGCAATAAAAGGGGGTGTTGAATAAATAAAGAATTTTGACTTCTTGGTCCTCAGTGCAAAATGGATCAATTCATGTGTCATCCAAAGTTGATATAAACATTAACACCTCCCCAAATACCAACCAACAAACAAAAAATAGAAAAGAATCTGAAAAAATTAAGCATTTTCAAAAGAAAAATGTTCACAGGGCCATTAAGTTAATCAGGAATAAATTTTCTTATTAATTTTTCCTAACCTAGACATTAGAAAAACCAAGTGTATTTTTAACTTTGTGTGGATGTGAGAACGTGCACATGTGTAGAGGGACATACAGAAGCCAGGGGCATGAAATTCTTCTAGAGCTGGAGTTACAGGTTGTTGTGAACCGCCTCATGTTGGGTGCTGGGCACTTAACTTGTGTCCTCTGAACAGTATACAACTTAACCACTGAGCTCGTTTTCCAGCCCAGAGCATAGTCTTTCAACAATTAAAGCATGCTTTGACAACTGGAAATACTTAGTAATCAATATAGTTGTTCTGCATCACAGTCCTTCCAAAGCCATCATTTAAACATACCATGAATTACTATGTTCCCAAGCCAATGATTTAATGAAATATTCAAATTCTGCTGTTTAAGGGAACCTCAAAGGGTAGTATAAACAAAACCCTATATGATATCAGTTCTACCCTTTCCTCTTATTTAGGGGAAGAGTAAAAGTTTCCTCAGAGAAGAATTTATAAACTGAGATGACTGAACCAATTCTTTGTTCATGGTTGCATATCAGTTCTGATCATCACTGATTGGCCTAAATTTTAAAAAAGTGTTAAAAGATTTCACTAAAAAAAATTTCTGGTTAGCTCTAACCTAATGCCAGACAATCATTATATACCACTAAGCTCTAGATTCTGTGAAACATTGAGATTTATCTCCAGTACTTTAAAAAAAAAAAAAAAAAAAGAACATAACTCAGAACTAAAATCAGTATTAGCCACAGACCTGGTCTAAAACTTAGATCTGTCTTCCACAAAATTAGGAAAATAACTGTGTGGCACAGTGGATGAATGATTAAATTATGTGATATCATAAAGTGCTGAGCCTAGGGCTGACTTGAGTATCAGTGTCTTTATTCAGAGACTTTAGTGAACAGGCAGGTGCACAGGGAATGAAATGAATTGCTCAAGGTTGCCAGACCTTTTGTGTAGTGGGTATTACTATCGAAAGTAGCATTTCATTAGATTATGATAAACAGTGGAGAAAAACAACAGGTCAAGGACACTAGGGCAGTGTTCAGCACAGTGCTTTGTACTGGGCCAGAGAGTAAATACATCAGGCTTCTTGGCTAACCATGTCAGCAGTTCAGCAAACCATGGCTCTCCTGAAGAGCAGGTGGGGGATCAACAACAAAACTCAAGTGTGCCCATCTTTTCACTGTGACATAGTGTGCTCATATTCCTGACACAGAACAGAGTGAACTATGGTGTAGAACATCCCTGAGCCAACCTCCAGACTAAGAGAGCACCATTAGTTATGAAAGTCTAAAGTACTTCTCATTCTAGATTTGAAAAACAAAATAAAACAATCAGATGGCTCAGAGGTTAAGAGCATTTGTTGCTCTTACAAAGGACCCAGGCTCAGTTCTCAGCACCCACATGATGTCTCACAACCATCTGTAACTCTAGTTCTAGGAAATGCAATGCCCTATTCTTATCTCTGTGGGCACGAAGCATGGTGTACCTATACACAAAAATGAAGAACAAACACTCATGCACATAAAAAACAAGTTAAAAAATTTTAAAAAGAAAAACACACAAACAAACAAACAAACAAACTGGCCAAGGCTGGAGAAATGTCTCAGTAGAAGAATTCTCGCTGCTCTTCCAGAGGCCTCAAGTTCAGTTCCCAGCATATACATTGGTTACCCCACAACCACATGTAATTCTAGCTCCAAGGAATCTGACACCCTCTTCTGGCTGCCTCAGGCACTCAAATATACTGAGACACATACACAATAAATAAACAAACTAACAAATCATAAATAAACAAAACTGACTAGGTTTGGTGTAGTGACATGCCTGTAATCCCTGTACTCAGAAGGGTAAGACAGAACAATTATTCAAGTTTGAGGCCAGTCTGGGCTACATACGTAGTAAATTATCCTACATACATAGTAAATTATCCATCACTCTGGGCTATGAACAAACAAACCAAATGATAAGAAAGAAAATTAAATTTAACCTATAAGCATGGGTTACTATAGATACTTGTAATATTCAAAAAGTGCAAAAAAAAATCCTGTACATTACTTAAAACAGCCAACCAAACTAGAAATGGTATTTGATCACTAAGCGTCTCTAGTAGATAGACTCCTCCCTTAGAAATAACATCAACTGAGTCCCTAATACAGTCTGTGTGGAAAGTTCAGGCCTTTCTGGCATGCAGCAAAGATGAGGCAGAGCATTCCATGACAAGTTTGTCCTTTCTTATTTCATTTCTGGACCTATGACTATTAGCTCCAATTGAACCTAACCCAACTGAACCAGACAGAGGTGAATATGATCGAGATAAACTGTATCAAGAAAATTTCAAAGAACTAATAAAAAATTTCACAAACAGAATACTGAAAGTTAATATTTATCTCCCACACCCTCAAAAGACTTTCAGATAAAAGAAAGTCTACTGCCAACTGTAGTTTTGTGGAATGTATGTTTAAGTTTATATGTAAGAAGTAAGTCCTTGGCATACTACTCATATGCAATCTTGCTTCAGTGTCCTGAACAAGAACATCTGAAACTGAGAGCCCTGTTGGAATTCTGTCTATCATATGTCGTCATTCCCAAAGGGAACAAATGTTTTAACTTGGTAAGTATATCTTCATGATTACACAACAAAAAAATAACAATATGACTACTTTTTTCTTTCAAGTTTTGTTTCCTTTTAAATATATAAATGGATAGAGTATAAACTTACATACTAGCTTATTTTTTCCTTTGCATAAAATGTGAAGAATGTGAACCCTACACCAGGGAAAGTAGAACTGTCTTAAAAATAACATGTGATTATACTAAATGAGTATTAGTTTGGAAAAGAAAAGGAATACATCATGTTATTAAAATGTTCTGGTTTGTTTCTAAGTAACAATCTCTGTGGTCAAATAAACTTACATCAAGTCATCAGTGGATATAAGCAAGTCTTTTGTAAGCTGGGATCAGCTGGAAATTCATTGTTTTGCAGAACCTGAGAATTACATTCACAAGCACTGAATTTGCATGAGAACTACTGAAGATTAACCCAACTAGTATTCCAAAACCCAAAAGAAAAAAGCATTCTACATTGTAAGTCCATTGTAGGACAGCCCTTAGGGACTATGACTAAAGCTACTTCGCATATGTCAAAGTATTTATAAAATGGGCTGGAGAGATGGCTCAGTCGGTATACAGTTTACTATGCAAACATGGGGACCCCAGTACTCATGAAAAAAGCTAGACATAGTGGTGTGTGCTTGTAATCTCAGCACTGAGAAGGTGGAGACATGGATCTCAAGATTCACTTGCCAGACACACAAGTAAGAGGCTGTCTTAAAACAACGTGGATGGCACCAGTGGAATGACACTTGAGGTGACCTTGGGCCTCTACATGCATCCACACACATATACACACACACACCTGCACACACCTACATACTTATGTTCATGTGCATGCACACACACAATGAGATATATAAAACATCAGCACAAATCCTACATGGATTTATGTATGCAAGTTAAGAAACCATGCCTAAGACTGGAGAGATGGCTCAGTGATTAAGAGCACACACAGACTGCTCTTGCCTAAGATTCAATTACCAGCATCCACGTGACAGCTCACAACCACCTGAAACTCCAGTTCCAGGGATTTGGTCTCTGCAGGCACCAGGCACACACATAATACACATATATACATAACGATATGCAGAAAAAAACACTTGTATACATATAATAAAAATAAGGAAGTCTTAAGATAAAAAGAAAAGAAACCTTGCCTAGGGTAACAAACAACTAAACTAACTTAAAATGATTTTTACATGAAGTATTTTATTACAATAAAGATAAATAAAAGATTAAATTAAGACAAACTGGTTCATCTTCCCCAATGTTAATATTTAATTATTCTATTTATTAACATTGTCAAAACTACAGGACAGTTAAAACAATTAATATGCAGTTATAAGCTCTCCACTTACAAATACCAACTAATACTTTGCTAATTTATTTCATCTGCCTCTGTTTCCATATTTGTGACTGTTTATCTATCCATCCACTCACTTGCATCTAAATCTATATTTATTCATACATCTAATTACACATTTCTATCTATATCTATTCATTCATATACTAGTCAGGGGTGAATATGAGCCTTTTGAACATATTCTATCATTCATCTCCATTATTTCAGTATGAATCACTTAAAAACAAGATTTCCTTACAACTGGGTCAATTATTATTTTTAGATAATTCCAAAAAAATTGAATGTTGGTTCAGTATTATCAAGCACACCATTTATAATCACATCTCAGATGTCTCAATGGGTCCTACACTGCAATGTATGAGGTTTAAGAACTAACTGAAGCTCACAGGTCTATTATTAGGCATGATATTCCTTCTAGTGGGAAACTGCATTTGGAAACCAGATCTGGAGGCTAGCTGTGCTCACTACTCTCAGGTCCTCTCAAAGGAATGAGCTGGGATATTTATTTAAAATACAATCATTTCTCACACTGATTTCTCAAAGCAAAAACACATTTTAAGACTACAGTTGATACTTTTCTGTTGTTGTGATAAAACACCATGACCTAGGTAACTTGTAGAAGGAATATTTACTTTGGCTTCTGGTTCCAGAGGGATAGCAGTTCATCCTGCCTGGGAGGCAGGGCAGCAAGTGAAGGAAATGGAAATGGCAGTTGGAGAAGGAATCTGAGAAATCACATTTCAACTACAAGCATGAATCAGACAGAAAACATGACGTGGGATGAAACTATAAACACTCAAATCCTGCTCCAAGAGGCCTATTTCCTCTAGCAAGGCTTTACCTACCAAAGGTTCCACAGCCTCTCCAAACAGTGCCAATATTATAGCCTATGGGAGTTACTACTTCTCATGCAAACCACCAGAGAGATATTTAATAGTATTTCACATCCATACACTGTATGAAGGGCTAAATTGTATTGTATAAACATTTTATTATTCATAAATTCAATTAGACTCATGTTAAATGACAACTGATGGCAATAATTCATTTTTTATAACTTGAAACCTCAAGCAAGGGAACAAGAGTAAACTCTGCCCCATAAACTCACTGCAGCAGTGAATCCACGAAAGGTCAGGAAGTGGAGGAGAGAGGAGATACCTACTACAAAGGACAGAGAATTTTGCCAACCAGAACTTCAGGTTGGTTTTTCTGGATAGCATTATTCAAGATATGCTAAAAATATGGACTTAGCTGAAAGATTTCTTGATATTCTTTTTTTTTTTTTTGGTTTTTCGAGACAGGGTTTCTCTGTGTAGCTTTGCGCCTTTCCTGGAACTCACTTGGTAGTCCAGGCTGGCCTCGAACTCACAGAGATCCGCCTGGCTCTGCCTCCCGAGTGCTGGGATTAAAGGCGTGCGCCACCACCGCCCGGCTTTTTTTAAAAAGCCATATGCTCTAAATCCAGATGCAGACTGAATATTGCTTATAGCTCATGATCTATAGTTATAAATTCCTGATCAATGTGCCTGGTCCCCATAAGAAATATAGATATGAAAACAATCCACAGAATCCGAACCTTCACAAACATTTTCAAGGTATTTATTAAATGCAAAATCCTAGGCTATTATCAAAGCAAGGTAGTACAAGCTTTGTAATTGTGGTACCTTAGCGGCTGAGTAAGGAGAATCACAAATTCTAGACCAGTCTGAGCTACTTAGAGAGAACCTGTCTCAAGAGAAACTAACGAAACAAAACCTTGTGGTATGCATATATGCATCCTAGAATTCAGTGTTCTTGGACATTCCTTTTTTGTTTTGTTTTGCCTTTGTTTTTGGAGACAGGGTTGCTCTGTGTAGCCCTGGCTGTCCTCTTAAGAGATCCACCTGCCTCTGCTTCCCCAGTGCTGGGATTAAAGACCTGCATCACTATGCCCAGCTTACTTGGACATTATTAAAAGCTATGGCATACAGCCTTGCAGTTTTCACCCAACTGGGAGGCCCCTGACCCTGCAATCTCATCTCATTTTCCTCCATAGTACTATAATCTTTTCCAATTTTCTTTCTTTTTTTTTTCCTGGAGCTGAGGACCGAACCCTGGGCCTTGTGCTTGCTAGGCAAGCGCTCTACCACTGAGCTAAATCCCCAACCCTCCCATTTTCTAAGAAAGTAAGGGAGTGCTAGACACCAAAATACAAAGTACTGGCAGGCATTGTGTGCACCCACAGCCCTCCTATACCACAGCTCCTACAGCACTTACCTTACCCACTACCCTTTTAGTTCCGTGAAACATTTTCTCAGGCCCTTCTTTATTTTAATTTGTATTATGGACTTTGATCTCTGCAGTCTATGTCTACACCAGAAGGACTAGGCATCGTCTTAGAAATCCTATGTGAGCACGGTATTAGTCATCTATTTTTATTTTCACAATCACTGGTATATAGGCCAAAAATTTGCATTTTATACAGTTTTCAAAGCAGTCAAGTTTTCTGTTCACAAAGTAAAAAGAATATTACCTTTTAAGTTTAGTAATTTACCTCATTTGCAACATAATATAACCACAACTTCTACTAAAGACACTGTTCTAATACAACTAGTTCTTCCATGTTTAGAACAAAACACAATGGACAGGTGAAGGAACAAACCCCAAACTTACAGAAAAGAAAAAGAATTAGGTTCTCCATAGACCTGAGGGGTCTATTCAAAGGTGATTATCTCAGAATGAGGGAGATAGATACACAGCTGTATTTCTAAAGCTGACCTGGGAGAAGATCTCCTCAGTCCTACCTTGCTGTACCCTGGGAGAAGCTGAGATACAGCAATTTCTACGTAATTAAAATGCATACATACGACTCTCAAATAATGAGATTTTAAAATGTTCATAACAACTCTTCAAACTCTGTTGAATATGTTAGTAATTTGTAGCACATTCCTACAATATATACATTTGTGAGAATGAACTATTGATAACCACAATGACATGGGTGGCTTTCAAAACCACAATGTTGAATGAAAAAAAGGTCGACACATGAAGAATGTATAATGTGACTGCATGTGTATAAAGTTCAAGAATAAACTACGACGCTGAAATATCTTTCTTGGGGAAAATGAGAAGGGGTTCAGATTTCTTGATCAGGAATTAGAATTCACTGAGCTGTACCACTATGGTATGTTTATCTACTTTAATATATATTTCAATAAAATATTAAAATACAAAACAAGCCATTGTGCAGGACAAGTTGTATTTCGCTTGAGAGCTTCCTTTTTATGCTGTGCACTAATGTAATTCAGGCAGATGCTGGCTGCTCTGGGCACAAGGATTAATAAAGTACAGTTCATAATTTCATCCTGTTTCTAATTCATCAAATGAACAGGTATATTTTCAACTAAAATGTAAGTGAATAACTGAGAATATGAGCATTCTACTCCAAATAAGATGGTGCTGAGAGGGCTGGAGCAGCACCTGAGACATGATGAATGGGATACTGGGAGTGCTGAGCTGCCTGTGATGTCAGACTTGAGGTTAAAAGATGAGTCTTTTACCTCAGTGAGGGGAGAATGAACACCCAACTCAAAGCTGCCTGACACATGTGAGATAAAAATTTTGTAGCTGGCTTGATTCTGTGCCATTTTTCTGCACAGTGGGAACAACAGATGCTCGGACTTTTTGACAGGAGAGACTAGATTTCTGCTAACTCACTAGATGACTCTGTGAACAGGCTATTCAATAAAGCTGTACAAATCATCAGGTGATTCACCAAGATCACCTATGCCTACTGAGTCTTTCCCCTAGAGTCCGAAAAATATCATCCCCTAAAGGATTGTGTGCTTAATGGATGTGGGGCTGGGTAATCTCATGGAGTGGAAAGGGGGAAAATGATTTTCTCCCCAGAGAATGGCATCTCTTGAACGCCAGTGAGAACAGAGCTGAGACTCTCTCAAAGAAAAGGTGTAGGAGTTACCCGGACATGCATAGCTGTCTATACTTGGGGGCAGGGAACACTCTGCAGGGCCTGGCTAGTAGTTACTTAAGATGCCTATCACAGGGTTAAGAGCTTAAAAAAAAGTTTTGAGACATCTGCTTATCATAATAGCTCCAGTCATTATGAGAAGACAAAATCACGGCTACTTAGATGTACGTAGACTTTGTGTTCACACTTCAATAATGTGGGTGTTTCTTACTAAGACTGATAAATGTTTTGTTAGCCTATAAATGATGAGTGATTTCTGAAACTAATTTATAGGTATTCATTCATGTTAGAATTTCATAAAGTATTTTCAAATCAGGTATTTCTAGAGTGACTGACTACAGCTTCAATGGCCAGTTGCCATGAATTATTAAACTCTTTTTTTTTTCTAACTTCCAAATCTTCCAGTAGACGTCTAGAGTTTAGCTAGAGTTTTGGCTACGATACAAACAGTGATGGAAAACATATGAGCAGTAACAAGTTTTAATCTCGCTCTTCAGTACTAACATGGACTAATCTGTGGAAGCAGTTTATTCCAGTATCACCCAGGACGCAGCCACACCAGAGGCTGTGTTAGGCAGGCTAATTCTTTTCCTTTTCTTTTAAATGTAACACTTCTTCATCTTTTCTTCTTAAAGAGTCTTGAGGATACTTACATTGTAGCTAAGTAGTACAGGGTGGATAACTACTTTGAAGAAATCTTCTCTTTCCTGACAAGGTATGTGTTCATGTCTGCATTATATGTACCAGTATACACTTATTTTATTGTTAATACTAAGGAAGTCTTAATAAATATTTGTGAATTGTTAAAATTTAAACCATAATTGTGTAGTTCCTTAGAATAAGTATTATAAAAAAGCTCTAAATTTTGTAACTAAAATTACTTTGGTTTTATGTCTTATAATAAATTTATTTTAAATAGTATGTGTTTTTTAAAAAAGTAAAAAACTGTCACTAATGCTTTATCATAACTGTTATTATGACTGATTTTGAAAAGTAAACATCTTACCCAATCTTTTATGAGAACAATATTCTTTAATAATTAATGTTAATAAAATTTGAGTATATCAGATATACTAAATGAAACTCTTTCACTATATAAACCTATGATACTGTTTTTTTAAATACATGAATTATTCAATTGTCATTTTTATTTATACCTTTGAAAACCCATATTTTTCCTTGATAAATGTCTTTCTTATTGTACAATGAAATGGTACTGGGCAATTATAACAGAAATCAACATAATTTCAAGAAAGAATACCTACCAACAATAGTTTAACTAGGTCTATATTCTATAGGAAAAATTAGAGACTTCTTTTTATAAACCTCATACTTAGAATAACACAAAGATTTCCTTTGTCCTTTACAAAGTACACTTCTTATTATATCTCAGGTTTAAAAAATTAGAGAATGCTCTCACCACTCTTCTCCCAACAATCTAAACAGAACACAGTATTCTTTCATGCTAATGTATTTAGAGGTGTGGCAGCCATGAAAACAGTGGCCACATGTTATAAGGACTGAGTCACAAAGAACCTGAGGGGTTTCTGTGGGTCTTATCTATTGCTCTAAAAATAGTGTGCTTTATTATTTTATTTTTCTTGTAATCCAACCAAGAATCACTGTGTTAAGGTAGAAAGGAAAGAAGGAAAAAAGAAAGAAAGAAAAAGAAGGGGTGGGGGGAGACGGAGTACAAGCCTCAGCTCAGCTCATGTGAAAGTATCCGAGCTGCTGTTTTTCGTTTGGTTTTGGCAGGGAGCACTATAGTGTAATAGTGGAAAGAATGGAAGCGATGCAGCCTCCTGTTACAACTAACCACTACATTAAAAAGGAGTATCATGATACCTGACCTGAGGCTTGAGACAAAACAGATTAACTTTACAAGCACTGCAGGAAATTTTAGGAAAGTGGAGAGGCAGGAATGTTTTGTTTTCAAAGCAGCAATTAGGGTTCTGAGTAGAGCTGATAAAGAAAAAAAATTGGCACCTAAGGAAAGAAAAACAGCCAATTCTTTAATCAGAATGCCATATATATTTTCAAGGTAAAATTAATTAAAAGTGTTGCTTTAAAAAGTATTGGTGTCTATGAACAAACAGTGCTGTGAATAAGTTTCCCATTGCATGCTTGGATTTTTAAGTTATTCCAGGATAAGCTATGCTTTGGTTATACCTGCATGTAGTTTGTATAATCTCTGAGATACATGGGACATGTTACATCACATTTATATCCTGGACCACATAACATATCTGTAAACTGAAATATTCAAGCCCAGTTGTCAAGTGGACCTTTAAACATGGGATTTAAAAATATAGTGATTTATTTACCTAATAAGGTAGCAAGAAGAAACAGCCTTTCACTTAGACAAGATTTCCATTTCAAATTTGCAGACAGTTAAGTGGTAAATAGGAAGCCTCTGTACTTCTCTGCTACATTTCTAGTGTTATTATCAAGTCTGAGAGCCTGGTCAAATCTCACCTTGTCTGTTCAGGGGAAAGTTGGCTCACTGTTTAGAAGCGACTTTGAGGGATGAAAATCTACTTGGAGCATGGTTGGAAGCTTTAGAAGAGAGGGGTTAGGAAGTTGCCTCAGCTCTGCTGCCTCCAGGGAATTCTGGAAGCCCAAAGCCTAAACTTTCTCCTCTCAGAGTTCCTGGGAGCGATGTCTAGAGCTCTCTCTCAGCTCTAAATGGTTCTGATTTATTAGTAACAGTAGGAGCACTGGGATAGTATTCCCAAGAGTCTTCTTATTAAGACTAGAACTTGAGACCAAAACCCAAAGCTTTTCATGAGTAGAAACACTGGCAAAATTGGTCTAAATCAGTAGAATATTGAATCTTCCTGAGAACTAGATACAAATATTTTTAAGTTTTTAAAAATAGCACAATCTCAATGCTGCCAAAACTAATAAGCTTGACTTTGGACTGTTTTAACAAGCTCAAAACAAATCCATACCACTTTAAATAAGAAATAATAAAATAATATTTCACATATTCTTTCTGATTAATAAAAGGCACTGCAGTGCTACCTCTTACATATTGCAAATATTATCCAGTGGTAAACAGTTGTGCAGATCAACCAACAGAGATTTAGGATCTTCTCATGGACTCCTCAAATCTATAGCAGAGACCCAGCAACATCAGGGGGCAATTCTTCAGGGTACCAAGATTGGCCTCTGTTTTCTTTACAAGCAACTGAGATAAAAGAACATAGAAAGATATGTATTTTTAAAAGGGGCTAACAGAAGATAGAACTAGCATAGAGAACTATAAAGAAGTCTATTCTGTCCTTAATATAAAGATTTTCTAATAGCCATAGGTAAGCACCAGTGGCCAAAGATCTAAAGGTGGTATGTTCTCTAGGAGTGCTTTTATTGGCATTATTCATGTAGCGTGGTGGTCCAGACTGTTCTGGAACCCCCACCAAGAAGTAGTTTCATTGAGGTGGTAGGCTATGAATGTACAGATCTGTAACTCTCACCAGGAGAAAGACAAACTGCCATTTAGGAGCTGGTTGCTTCCACTAGTTACTAAGGGCAAGACTCCTCCACTGTGACAGATAATGCTATAAAACCAGCAGGCAGAAGTCTCAATTCATACTTCCATCTTCTTCAGTTATGAAAAAGGCCAATAGGCTGTCATGAAATATTATCATTCTAAGAAAGAAGTCAGAAAAGGAGGGACTACAGCTGATGCTTAGTGAACCTGAGGCAGGATGTGGGAGAGAAGCAAATCTATCATTATTCTGCTTCCTGGTACCATACCCTGAGCTTTCTCCTTACTCCCCGATCTCTACATCCAATTCTACTCCATCACTCCTCATCTTAAACCTTCACTCAGCATTGGGGGAATTTGTTTTGAGCTCACTGAGGCAAGTTGCCTAAAGGAATCTCTGTGACCAGCATGTGGAACACATACAAATGCATCCAACCCTCAGCTCTGCTGCCAGGCCACATGGAAAATCAAGATGGGTTCTTGGCATCCACTCTGCTATGCTAACACACTCCTCTTGCTATATAGACTTTAAATTTTTCCACAGTTCTCTTAGTTCTATATTTCAAATACCTTAACGTTAAAATAGTTTTTGCTTTTATATGGAAGCTAAAGCCCATGTAATTCAGATTTTACACTAAAAGACTTAAACAAGAACAATCAGCCAACTTAATAAACCCCAATTTTCATTTTCTATAATCTAGAAAATGGGGCTAGGACCTTAAAACACTGTGAATTCCAAAACCATTTCCCAGGTAGGTGTTTTTTTCTTTGTCTTCTGGGAGAGACCAATGAATAAGAAGAATATGGATGGATAATTGTGCCACTTAAGCTGTCAGCTGAATGCTAGAGAAGGGGTAGAAAAGGCAAGGTATATGTTTAGGATTAAAGCAACGATTTTTGTTGTCAGACTGGTATTTCAAATATTTTAACTCTGGGCATGGTAACACATGACTATAATCTCAGAACTCAAGAGGATTACAAGTTTGAGACCAGACTTGAGTTATACAGAAAATCTGTCTCAACAACAGAGCAAACAAACAAACAAACAAAAAACCACACCAATCTTTTTTACTATGTTAAATGTAACAACAACAATAAAAAAAAACTATTTGTAAGAAGAAAAGGTGTCAGTCTATTCTATTTATATGGCATTCTACTCATTTCAATCTTTTTTTTTTTTTTTTTTTTTTTAGCTGAGGATCGAACCCAGGGCCTTGCACTTGCAAGGCAAGCGCTCTACCACTGAGCTAAATCCCCAACCCTCAATCTTTTTCAATGCTCTACTGGTTTCAAAAGTAATGGAGGATTATTAAGAGGAGAAAAACACTGAAGAATGTCACTAATTTAGATTTGGCTTATTTATTTATTTAGAGAAACAGAGTGTGTGATATATGCTTGTATATGTCTGTGAACAGGTGTGCTCAGCCACGCAGGCAAGAATGGAGGCCAGATATCAACATCAGGTGTGGCTCTTCACCTCATTTTTTAGACAGGGTCTCTCACTTAACCTGGAGATGGCCATTTCTACTAGACTGGCTATCCAGGGACTTCCTGGGATCCACCTGTGTTCTTCCCCACTCACACTGAGCACTGGGGTTACAGATACGTGCCAACACACCCAGTTTTCAAGTGTGGGCAAGGATATCATCAACTCAGTTCTGCATGGTTGCATAGGAAGCACCTGACTTGCTCAGCAATCTCCACAGCCAGCATTCTCTCACTGCTATCAAATCACTTAACATTCTAGAGGATCCTTTTTTGTTACTGTTGTTGTTTTCAACAGGATCTTACTATGTAGCTCAAGCTGTCTTATGATTCCCAACATAGCCTAGGCTGCCTTCAAACTCATGATCTTGCCTCAGACTCCGAAATACTGAAATTATAGTTATGTGCCAGTATACCCAGCTTCAATATCATATTTAGTAAGAGTATTTGATTAAGAGTTTTAGTTATGGGTTGGGGATTTAGCTCAGTGGTAGAGTGCTTGCCTAGCAAGCACAAGGCCCTGGGTTTGGTCCTCAGCTCCTGAAAAACGAGTTTTAGTTATATTTTTGATGAGTAGAAAATGTGAGGAGAGGAATGGGAGGAAGATATGTCCTACCTTACCCATTAAGTGACCTAACACCATGCTTGGGACACATAAATGCTTAAGAAATGCCTAATGACTAGATGGGGTAATGTATGCCTTTAATCCTAGCACCCACCAGGCAGAGGCAGGCCTATCCCTGTATACTAGCCAGCTTGGTCTACATAGCAAGGCAGCTAGGACTACATGAGACCCTGTCTCAAAACAAAAACAACAACAACAACAAAAATATCCCACCAAAGCAAACAAACACAACACCCCCCAAAAAAACTCCTAACAACAAAACAAAACAAATAAAAAAAATTAAAAAAAAAAAAGAGATGCTCACTTGAATTAACTCTGGCAACTTCAAACTAGGCTAGGTCAAAGACAGGACTTCAAATGGCACTGTAATTGTAAGCTTCCAATTACTAAAGTTGAGAGTATCTGTGCATCTGGAAGACAGAGCTGCAATGTAAAGATGCTCAAAAAGACAAACAAAAGGGCCTGGTGATGTAGTTGGTAGAGTGCTTGCTTAGTATTCATGAAGCCCTGGTTCAATTTCCAGCACAGTATAAACAGTGCTTGGTAGGGCATACCTGTAATCCCAGCCCTTAGGAGATGGAGACAGGTACACTAGCTGTTCAAGGTCATCCTCAGTTACATAGAGAATCCAAGGTCAGCCTGCAGATATATAAGACTGTCTCAAAAAACAAAGAAACAACAACAACACCCTGAAAAAGTAAGAAGCAGTGACAAGCTTCAAGTCAGCTAAGGACTAAAAGTTAAATTTCTAGAGAAAAAGTGTTTTGGAGACGAGTCTAAGTTGACATTAACACTAAGGAATTGAAGAACTACAAAAAGGTAAAAAGACATAATGGAACCAGATGTGGTGACTCATACCTGTAAACACAGCATTCCAGAGGCAGAAGCAGAGGTAGGAGAAATGCCCTAAATTCAAGGACAACCTGGTCTACATAGCAAGTTTTAGGCCAGCCAGAGTTATGCAGTGAAACCCTGTCTCAAATAACCAAACCAAACACTGTAATAGGTCACAGGTAGGGAAGTAGATGAGAAGTAGAGACAAGAACAAAATGATTCTGAAAATAATAGTCACCACAACCCTATGTAAGGGTTTCTAGAAGAGATCCAAGAAGGAGATTTCACAGTAACAAACAGGCCAACAGTTGCAAAAACAGGTGATCTTGTCCAATAGAAGCTCCTAGGACCTTATTGCCAGCACAATGCCCCCAACTGTGGATTTTATAAGCCTTATCACACAATCACTTCATGTGTTTGTGCGTGTATTTGTGTGTGCGTGCGTGCGTGTGTGTGTGTGTGTGTGTGTGTGTGTGTGTGTGTGTGTGTGTACTTGAACACTGAGAACAGAGAACAAGGATAGTTGCTCAGGCACCATCCACCTTGTTGGTCTGGAACTCACTGATTAGGCTAGGCTGGCTGGCCTGTGAGCCACAGGGATCCACCTATCCATTTCTTTAGTGCTGGGATTTCAAGCAGGCACGGCCATGTCTGGCTCAAACTCAGGTCCTCATGCTCCACAACAAACACTTTCCTGACTACATCATCTCTCCAGCTCCATTTCTAATCTTTAATTTCTGGAAAAGGTAAACAACGGAGATGTTAAAGTCGATTTCTGGGTTCTGGGACACAGTAAACAGCTGACTCAAGGACCATGTATTCTGAAACTGGGCCAGATATGACTGACTAGAATTCTCTTACTGAGTCACTGTTGACACGCAGTGAAGACCCAGTAGACTGTTAAGTGATTGAAGCTGAAAGACCTTCTATATAGCACTTTGCTCTTGAAAATGAAAAAATATGAATATGTGAATATATATATATATATATATATATATATATATATATATATATATATATTTTCAAATGTTAAGACTTGTTTTTGTAATGGATACCACTGGGATACACCTATATTTCATTATGTTTTTAACCTTTGAAAATGTCTAAGAACGTACATATTTCATAGGTGGTGGTAGATGCCTGTAATCTCAATATTGGGGACTGAGGCAGAAGGATCACCGACAGGGAGTTTGAGGCCAACCTGGGCTATAGGGAGACCCCTGTTTCAAAATAACAAGAATAACTCCCAAAGTGTGATAAGTAAATATATGCATGGGAATATCAGACATCAGATGGCAAAGAATTCATGCTCCGAAGGTTTTTATTTATACATTCCAGTTTTGTATAAGCTTTCGCTTCCTCTCTCTCTCTCTCTCTCTCTCTCTCTCTCTCTCTCTTTCTCTCTCTCTCTCTCTCATACACACATACACACACACACACACACACACACACACACACACACACACACACACACACACACCTAAAAACAACACAGCATCTACCAGAGACAACTATTCAACCAGATGAAACTCAGTGAAACATGAACAACAAAAAAAATAGTCTGGGCATCAGATGGTCAGGATGAAGTATTAGAAAACAGAATATTATTAGAAATAAAAATGTCCAATGACAGTGTGGAAAAAGTTACCAATGATGAGAATGAGGTTTGGTAGGGTTAAAAAAAGAAATCAGTTAAGGAAAATGTCCGCATTGTCTAAGGGCCATTGAAGACATCTTTGGAAAGTGACACAGATACAAGCAATGGAGGGGTTCTGAGAACAGAGTTAGTCATGATCATTTTAACTTACTTTTCTAAGTATAAAAGAAATATTTATTGCTTATAATATTAAAGGAAAAGAAGAAGACAAAAGTCATCCAGGCTGGGGATGTCCAATGGGAAGCAAACCCTAAGTTTGATGCCCAGCATTACATAAATCAGGTCTAGCAGTGCAACCCTGATTCCTGGCACATGGGAGGTAGAGGCAGGAGAATTAGGAGTTTAAGGCCATCTTTGACTACTTAGTGAGTTCCAGAACAGCTTAGGATATGTGAAATTGTATTTCAAAAAAAAAAAAAATGAAGACAAACACCTTATCCATAGTTCTACCACTGTAGTTTATAACTGACCAGATTTATTTATAATAGTTTTTTTTAAATTTAGAAGTAGACTAACTATGGATTGTTAAATATTTGCTTTTTTATTTCACAGAAAGGAATCTATATTTTAAAGTATCTTTGGAAACATTTTGTAGGTTAAAATATAGTTCATTTGATAAATACACTCTATTATTTTCCTGTAACCAACAGAACAGTCTTTAATTTTTTCTATTATAAAGAATTCTATTACGCATTTCAGAATTATTTCTTGAGATGAGACTATTTTAAAAATTCAGAATAAAAATAAAACAAAGATCTTATTCAGAGGCTATTTCTATTCTGAAATCTAAGTACTTCATTTTAACTTCTTTCACTGAAATTTATCTCAAAGTATCATGAGGTCAAGCCTGAATTTCCCAGTAAAATTTGTTCCAGAGTTTTAAGTATTGCCAAGATGAACATGCACCATCCATGGATAGACCCAGCTGTTTAAATTAATAGAATTATTGAAGCTCCCTCTAAAAGCATGTGCTGAATTGCTTTCCAAAAAGTTTTATGTAGCCGGGCGGTGGTGGCGCACGCCTTTAATCCCAGCACTCGGGAGGCAGAGCCAGGCGGATCTCTGTGAGTTCGAGGCCAGCCTGGTCTCCAAAGCGAGTTCCAGGAAAGGCTCAAAGCTACACAGAGAAACCCTGTCTCGAAAAACCAAAAAAAAAAAAAAAAAAAAAAAAAAAAAAAGTTTTATGTATTTAATCCTACACTACATAGTAATAGATAAGAATGTCATTTTGTCATACTCTTGCCAACACTAGAAATGTATATAAAAGAATTTGTATCTGTTGAAACTCTAATACTCCATGTCCACTGAACGACAGGTTGCACGTGTACACAGGACAGCATGAAGGAGTATATGATGCTGTTGCTTTTGGCTGTGTGCTCTGCTAAACCCTCCTTGAGCCCTTCACACACAGCAGTGAAGAACATGATGCTGAAGGACATGGAGGACACAGACGATGACAGCGACGATGACAACAACTCTCTTTTTCCAACAAAGGAGCCAGTGAACCCCTTTTTCCCTTTCGACTTGTTCCCAACATGTCCATTTGGATGCCAGTGCTACTCTCGAGTTGTCCACTGTTCAGACCTAGGTAAGGACAGGAGGCAACTTTATTTTGAAGAATACTGTTATTCTGAAAAGGTTAAAAGGATTTAAAAAAAAAAAGTCGTTACTGAACTTTCAAAACTGTATTAGTCATCATAAAATGGTTTATTTATACTGTTAGGTGGAAGGTGAGTGTGGTAGCCCAGGCTTCTAGTCCACACTTTTAGGAGTTCAAAACAGGAGGACTGTGAGTTTGAAGCCAGCTTAGGTAAAACAGAGACCCCCATATAAGAAACAACAAGCCGGGCGGTGGTGGCGCACGCCTTTAATCCAGCACTTGGGAGGCAGAGCCAGGCAGATCTTTATGAGTTCGAGGCCAGCCTGGTCTACAGAGCGAGATCCAGGAAAGGCGCAAACTTACACAGAGAAACCCTGTCTCAAAAAACAAACAAAAAAAAAAAAAAAAGAAAGAAAAGAAAAGAAACAACAAAAATGAGGCAGTAGTAGATTATCTGCTCACTACCTCAGTTTTGATTCCAGAACTGCAAAACAAGCAGAGAAATGTTCAGTTGGAGAGTCCAGCAGACTGCAAAGCATATCTACACTTATTTAAAAATTCAGAATAAAAAGAAGAAAAGGGGCTGCGTGGTGGTGGAGCTCGTGTTTAATCCCAGCACTTGGAAGGCAGAGGCAGGAGGATCTCTGTGAGTTCCAGGCTGGCCTGGTCTACAAAGTGAGTTCCAGAACAGCCATGCTACACAGAGAAACTTTGTCTCAATCCCTCCCCTCCCCCAACACACACACACTCTGGGAGGCCAGCTCCCACCTTTTAAAAAGGGTTCCTATGAGGAGAGAGGGATAAGAAACTTTTAGATAGAAAGATATGAAGAGGAGAAAGACAGGAACACAGGATAGCTTTGGGAGAACCTGGATCAAAACCCAAGGCCCTTCTGCCTCTTCAAAAGGGTTTTTAATAACAATGCCAAGGGGTAGGGCAAAAGACCTCCTCCTTGCTAGATCAAAGCATACCACACAGCCAGGTGTAGACCTTTCCAAACACCTCTTAACTATGCCCATGGTCAAACCATCTCCTTATGTAGCCCTGCTGGATAAGCAAGCTCAGATTCTGGGACCCTGAGTAAGTTCTCATTAGGAAGCTTCTGTGGTTCTACACACACACACACAAAGCACTTGGGAGGCAGAGGCAGGAGGATGTCTGTGAGTTCCAGGCTAGCCTGGTCTATAAAGTGAGCTCCATGACAGCCAGTGTTACAAAGAGAAACCTTGTCTCAACACACCACACACACACACACACACACACACACACACACACACACACACACACACACGAGTGCCTCCCCAAAGAGGGACCTTACATAGAAAGGATTTCTTTCTTTTCACAAATCTAAGCACTTCATTTTTAATTTCCTTCACTGTAATTCAACTCAAAATGTCAAAAGATCAATCCTACACTTACTTGGCAGTAAAATTCTACAGCAACAAAATACAGTGCCCACCCAGAACGATAACATGGGCCATGTAGATTTCATGAAATCTTTAGATATTTTAAATGCAAAGTTCTGTTTGTTATGAATAATTTGGGTTTAGAACTTCCTAGAAAGACGTGATTGAACCAAAGTCTATTTAAAATTTATCACTCTTGCTAAGTAACTCCACTGTGTTGTTTTGTTGCTGCAACAAAATAACTTAAAGGAACCATTAATTTTGGGTGGCTGCACACTGCAGCTCACATGTTGGCAACAAAGACAGGAGAGCAATGACAGAGGAGACAGGAAAAAGAGTGGGGAAGCCAGGGCTAAGTAGAGAGGAAGCAGAGTAAGGAGGGAGACAGACAGAATGAAGGCCTGTACTAGCTGTCTTTCTGCTTTCCCCTCTTTCATTCGGTTTCATCACCAGTCTAGGGGCAGTGCCACCCACATTCAGGGTGGGTTGTCCCCCTTGATTAACCCTAGCTAAAACTGCCCTCAGACACAGTCAGAGGTACACTTCATAATCTAATCAAGTTGATAATCAAGACTAATTAGTTTCAAGTTAGATGTACATATCAACTTGACACCCGAACACATCCCTTTAGACCTAATATTGTATCCCTGGTCTTTAAAAGGCTCATGCCCATCTTATAATGCAAACTACATTCATCTCAAAGAATCTCACAGTCTTAACAATTCCAATATGCTCAAAAGCCCAAGTTTAAGGTCTCCTAAGACTCAAACTCTTAGCTGTGAGTCCCTGTAAAACAGAAAAGAAATCAAACAATTCCAAGATACAGAGGCACACAGTATACATTCCCATTACAAAAGAAAGGGACAGTCAGGCAGTGGTGGTACACGCCCTTAATCCCAGCACACAGGAGGCAGAGGCAGGTGGATCTCTGTGAGTTCCAGGCCAGCCTGGTCTACTGAGTGAGTTTCATGACAGCCAAGGCTATTACACAGTGAAACCCTGTCTCAACACAACAAAACAAAACAAAACAAAAAGGGGGACAAGAAATAGTGAGTTCCAGGAAAGGCGCAAAGCTCACAAACAAAAAGAGAGAGAGAGAGAGAGAGAGAGAGAGAGAGAGAGAGAGAGAGAGAGAGAGAGAGAGAGAGAAATAGCAAGGAAAGACTAGACCAAAGCAAGATAAAAACCCCAGAAGGGCAAATACAAAATCCTGTATATCCATAGCTAGCACTAAGGGTACAATGTGGCATGACATGAGCTCTAGTCACCCATATCAGTTATAGCCAACATGGCTTCCCTCCTGGGCTGGTTCTGTTCCCTTCCTCCATCCCTCTCCTCTCTTTTTCTATCCTCTCCTTTCCTCTTCTATCCTCTCCTCTCCTCTCTTCTCTTCTTCTTCTTTTGAGACAATATTTATATAGTCCAAGATGGCCTCAAACTGGCTATGTAGCCAAAAAATACTCTTGAATTTGAGCCTTTTTGTCCCTACCTCTAAAATACTAAAAACCAAGTGGTCAGCTAAAAAGACATACATATAGGTCAACATTATATGGACTGAGCAGGTTGTATTTATATATTTAGGAATACATACAGTATAATTAAAGAAAAAGACATAAATTTGAAAGAGAGCAAGGGGGAGATCATTGGAAGGTAGGAAACATGAAGGGAGGAAACAGAAAAGGGAAATTGTATAATTATAATCTCCAAAAGAATTTAAAAGTGTACACCTCAACTTTCTTCTGAGATGACAGAGGCAGCTATTGTTCCTCAAAGAAGAATGGAGACTAAAGGCCCAAGGGTAGAAAAGTGACGGAAGTTAAATCACTTTGTTCTTTAATACTGGGGGTGATGAATGAAATAAGTTATAGCTCAAATCTACATGCTAATCAAGATATTTGTAGGATCTGTAAACAAGATTTACAGCCAGTTAGAGGAATTCACTATTAATGGTAAAAGAGTATTAATTTTTTGTTAACATGCATGAAAATAATCTAGCATATCTATTTTTCTAATCGTAACTTTCTATACATTGGGCTTTTTTTTCTTTGTTTTGTTTTATTTTGTTTTTTGGACAGGGTCCCACTCTGTAGACCAGACTGGCCTAGAACTCACAGAGATCTACCTACCTCAGTCTTTCGAGTGCTGGGATTAAAGGTGTATACCATCTCAACCAATTTCATTTCGGTTCTTCTTAAAAAAATTGTCAAGACCCTTATGCTCCAGTTTCTCACTAAACAGCAAATCTGCACAAAAAAGCTATTATTTTCAGCCCAAGTACATTGTATAAACTATGTTTCTGTTGCTTATGATCTCTTAACAAAGGCAAGCATAGCCTACCACCATGTATTTCACCTTGGAACCAGACAGGTTCAAGACAGATAGATACCCTGTAAAAATAAAAAAAAAGTTACTTGGAAAGGTCTTGAGGCTTTCAAAAGACAATGTTATTTGTCGTTTTTTTTACAAGTACTAAGTGCTATGTTACTGATCACCATGAATTTTTTTTCCCCCGTTTTTCGAGACAGGGTTTCTCTGTGTAGTTTTGGTGCCTGTCCTGGATCTCGTTTTGTAGACAAGGCTGGCCTCGAACTCACAGAGATCTGCCTCCCGAGTGCTGGGATTAAAGGTGTATGCCACTGCCGCCTGGCCAATCACCGTGAATTTTAAAAATGCACATCTCTACTGTATTACTGATCTCATGTAGATGTATCCAACCTTCTTATTAAATAAGAAACACAGAACCAATGCAAAGAAGAAAGCCAAGAGGTCAGAGCTAAGAGCTAAAACCTTACCCTTCCTCCCGCGGTGGTCCTACCTCTCCGAACCAGAGCTACCCCTGTGTTAAAGTCTTTATATAGAGTTCCTGTCCTGCCTTCTCATTGGTTGTAAACCCAACCACATGACCGCCTCCTCACGGCCTGTCTGTATAGGCCTCCAGGTTTTCTATGATTGGTATTAAGATTAAAGGTATGTGTATCCAATAATGGCTGTATCCCTGAACACACAGAGACTTACCCAGCTCTGCCTACCAAGTGCTGGAATTACAAGCGTACGCCACCACTGCCCTGCTTTCCTATGGCTTGCTAATAGCTCTGACCCCCGGGCAACTTTATTTATTAACATACAAATAACATTTTAATACAAATAAAATATCACCATAATCTCATCTTTAGCATGAACATCTATCATCTGTAACATGTGTGTTTATTTCTCAGGTTTGACCTCCGTCCCAAGCAACATTCCATTTGACACTCGAATGGTTGACCTTCAAAATAATAAAATTAAGGAAATTAAAGAAAATGATTTTAGAGGACTCACTTCACTTTATGTAAGATTATATACTCATATTTTCAAATACTTAGTAAAAATCCTTATCACTGTTGAAATGACTACTTATATTGCATCAGTGTAAAAATCTCTTACTTTCCTATGGATGACCCAATGCAAAAATCTTGTATTCAGCTGAGTAAACACTATGGCTTAATTCAATTGATGCTTACAGAATAATAGTCCAGTAAAAGGTAACTGGGCTGCGAGTTTAAATGAGTTCATAATCTAGTCAGATGATAATGCTCACTATCCACTAAAAGGAGTAAGGGAAAAATTATTACCAGGGCTTGGTGGCCTTTGATCCTAGCAACGTGAGAGGCAGCAGTAGGTGGATCTCAGGCCAGCCAGAGCTACATAATGAGACCGTTTCAAAACAAACAAAAAATACTTAACTACACCAATAATCAATACAGTATATAAGAAATCTTCACCCAGAGCCATTTACTTAAGATTTCACCATAGTTCTCTAACAGTAGCACACAGAATATATTTATTTAGGTGGCTAATATATTCATGCATGTTATCTTTCCTTGATCTTTGTAAAAGGAAAAGAATTTCATTCTCATATATTAATAAATATAATTACTATTTTAATTTCCTAACATTCCTAGGATTTAGAACCTTAGAAGACTACTGCTTTCTGACTTAATCTGAGATGAAGTTTGGATGGAGAGTCCGATTTGGCACGGACACAGCTGTGGAGGCTCCGCGGCCCTGTCAGTGCTGCCCCTGTCTTGCTGAGTTGAGGCTAGGCATGCTAGATGAACAGCTCTGGCTCTATACTGTCTGTAGGGTGGACTAGGACTACCGCTTCCAGGCCATCTCTCTATACTCCCAGGCTGTGCTAAAGAAAAGAAACGTATAGCCTGCCATCTTTAGGGAAGGTAAAATACTAAGAGGAGAAGAGAATTTATAACCATACTAAACCTTGCATATAGGCCTATCTGTATATAACAGTAGCCAAATATAGATTCTGTATCTGGAAGATGTGAGGTCACCCTGCCTCCTGTCATCTCAGGTCTGCCTCCCTGTCATCTCCTATATACTCATCATATTAGAGGCACACAAAGGGATAACTGGCAAGGTGTTGTACCCAGAGCCTAGAGATTGGATCAACCCCCTGTAAAAGTTCATGTTTAAGTGCTGTGCTGCTTGGTAGCTGGACTCTTGACTGCTCTTTTTTTTTTTTTTTTTTTGTCTTTAAGTGAAGAAGAAAGTGTAGCTTGCCATATAAAATGCAGTTTCCATACTAGGATTTACTCAAATATCAAGACAGTCAGCAATAACACAATGGATTCTACCAAAGATCCACCTAGCCAATCCCACTAACTTGATATTACAAAAAGTTGGAGAAAAGAGAGGTCATTACTCTATCATCAAAGATTGGAAAGGATGTGCATGTATACATATGTAATCTAAAAAGAGAATGTAGAAATATATATAGTCTATGAATGCTTCTACCACCTGTTAAACTACATTTAGTTTACGTAACCACAGAACAACTAATGTTATATTTGATATCAAAACCATAAAAGTTTCAAATCAGTTAGCATAATTTTATTATATTTTAGGAGTATTTCATGAACTCAGTCCACATGAACTTTCATTTTTTTTATTGGGAAATGATGCACTAAAAGATATTGGGAAATTCTTAGGCCTCTTTAATATTTTTAAAGGGAAATTCTTAGGCCTCTTCAGTATTTTTAAAGTCAATTTATATATTGTGCTGTGTTAAGGGTGAATGCTCTGTTGTTCGGTGAACCTGGACACAGCTCTTGGCTCTATCAACTAAATAACAATGGGGGAAGTGGCCTCACCTTCCTCAGCAGTAAGGAAGGTATAATATTGGCATGGATTTTGTAGAACGATTTTAAGATTAAATGAGCAAATACATGTAAGTTGCTACTCAAAGATAGGAATTTCCTCAACTGTTGATCAGTATTACTGTCAGGCTAGTGTGAGTAGACTGACCAAATGTGCTAATATAAATCATCTTTTTTTTGAGGGTTTTTTTTGAGACAGGGTTTCTCTGTGAAACAGTCCTGGCTGTCCTGGATCTCACTCTGTAGACCAGGATGGCCTCAAACTCACAAAGATCTGCCTGGCTCTTCCTCCCAAGTGCTGGGATTAAAGGCATGCACCACCACCACTGCCCGGCTAAATCACTCTCAATTTCAGGTGGAGGTTTTTTGTTTTTGTTTTTCTTTTTTTCAAGACACGTTTCTCCGTGTAGCCTTGGCTGTCCTGGAACTCACTCTGTAGCCCAGGATGGCCTTGAACTACAGAGATCTGCCTGCTTCTGTCTCCCGAGTGCTGGGATTAAAGTGTGCACTACCTCCACCTGGCTCATTTTTTCGTTTTTATAAGATAGGTTTCACTATGTGGCCCAGGCTGGCCTCAAACTCCTGGGCTTCAGTGCGTCCCCTTTCTCCTTTCCCAAGGAGAAGTAACAAGAAGTGCTTGCTATTGCTACAGGCTAAAGCACTTTCACGAGTAGGTGCTTTATTCTTGAAGTAGCGGGATGCTGCATAATTTTTTAAAGTTTAATCATAATATCTAATATATTTCTTGTCTTAAAAGAGAAATCAAAATGTTTTAGACATTTAGGAATCTGTTCTATTTCAAGCTGCCTGTTTGGTGCTAGTTAGTACTCTCATGGAAAAGATAACACAAAGAGTGACTGGCACCCTCAACACCCTCAGGCCTCCCCACTCCCTTCTCTCTCTGCTGTTACAAACAGTGACTGCACACTACATTTTCTTCTACATTGTTTGTTAGTGATGTATCTGGGCTGCAGGACAGCCAGTTCTTTGTGTAAAAGCCAACACTGAGTACAGTTGACCTTGGGTTATTCTACCAGCCCATCATGCCAGGCATTATGTCATTCAGCATTTGACAGAGCTGAACAAAAGTTGAAGACAAGCTTTTACCCTAGTTTTATTATCCATCATTCCTTTTATGTAATTTCAACAATCTAACAATTGCATGTCTTAAACAGAAAACAAATGGATAAATGACAAGACCTTATTGAGGTATATACTCATTAGGTAAGGCAGCTCTGACTTCACTTAAAGGGTGACACCAGGCAAGTCACTTTTCTTCATTGTGCCCTATACTGTACTACGCAAAGGAAAGCTAGATTTAACCTCATAGGGTCAAGTAAAAGTTATAAGCCACCTTTGTGATCCACTAAATGGTTAAAACCAACCCCTACCCCATTTTCCTACTAACTAAAGGGAAATACACCCTTAGCTGTTATCATATATTCAGAAAGGAGCCTATTTTGCTAGACAGCAGCGAGAAACAGTTTCCCCTCTGCTAGGATCAATCTTTCTTAGATGAAACCTTAAACAGCATGGTTTATCAGGAAGGAGGTTGATTAAAGAGAGACACGGAGGCCAGAGAGTAAAATAAGTAAACATGCTCTTGAAGGAGTTTGCTGTGCAGCCAAGAGTGTATATTCTAAGGAGAAACACTCTGAGCAATCCCAGTAAGACACACTGACTCTGTCTAGAAACACAAGGAAAAACAAAGTAAGGATAAAATTTATAAAAGAAATAAATCTCAAGCTTCTACTTGATAGAATCACATTAATAGAGGGACAAAAAGTCCTAAAGATGCTAAGAAATCTACCACCATTGTTGGTAAACATCTAAAGTTCTTTCTGCTCAATATAGTAGAGGGAAAAAATAAAAGTATATTATCTTGCCATGTGAATGGTTACTATGAATGTATTAACAACTAATTCAAAGTTTAAAAAGATGGGATTGTATCTAACTAGCACCAGACATTAAAACATTGTACTGTTCTAACTCAATATTTTGAAAGTTGAAATTATAATAGATATCTTTAGCTAATATACAAATGGAAGAAATTATAATGATGACTAATTATTATAGAATACCAGTAAATCAATCTAATCCCTTAAACCAGTGGTTTTCAACCTTCCTAATGCTGCTACCCTTTAATGCAGTTCCTCATGTTGTAGTAACCCCCAATCATAAAATTATTTTCATTGCTACTTCAGAACTAATTTTGCTACTGTTATGAATCATAATGTAAATATCTGTGTTTTCCAATGGTCTTAGGCAACTTTTGTGAAAGGATCATTCCATGCCCCCCAGAGGGGTCACCAACCACATGTTGAGAACAACTGCCTTAAACTGTCTTTCTATGCTTTATCTAGGCTCTGATTCTGAACAACAACAAGCTAACAAAGATTCATCCAAAAACCTTTCTAACCACAAAGAAGTTGAGAAGGCTATATTTATCCCACAATCAGCTAAGTGAAATTCCACTTAACCTTCCCAAATCATTAGCAGAACTCAGAATTCATGATAATAAAGTTAAGAAAATACAAAAGGACACGTTCAAAGGAATGAATGCTTTACATGTTTTGGGTAAGTTTTCCCAATAAAAAGGACATCCTGAAATTGTAATTAACATCCAAATTTACACTATTAAATTTAAACATAGTATTTTAATGCATAATATAAATTACTCAATTATAATGTACACACTTAATTTTTTATTATTTGGAATATAAACCTAATTTTGGTTATGTTTTAAGATTACTGAGATATATATTTCATTATAAAATTTAAGTCTCACTATTTTATTTGTAATGTTTATCATGTGTCTATGCCATCTGCCTGCAACAGTCACTCAAACACCTAAGCAAGGTTCATGTCCATATATTCTCTTAATCCAACCAAGTACCTAGCACTTATAACTTCTAAGTTAAATTTCTATTAATCACTTAATTTAAAAATGACATATGATTTTTCAAAAATTAAGGGGTAAGGCTAGGCTAGGGAGATAGCTCAAGAAGTAAAGTGCTTGCTGCACAAATCTGAGAACCTGAGTTTGATCCCCAGAATCCACATTAAAGTTAGGCTGGTAGTGTATAACCTGTAATCCCAGCACTGGGGAAGCAGAGATGGGCAGATAACTATGGCTCAGTGGCCAGACAGCCTAGCTTACTTGGCAAAAAACCAAACCTATCTCAACAAACAAATCTAAAGTGGTTATGTGCAATTAATTTAAGTCCATTTAAAACACCATGGAAAAAAGTGGATAGCATCTTAGGAATGACATCCAGGACTAACCTCTGGCCTCCATGAGCCTGTGCACATGTACACAGTTTAGGAAACAACAAAATAGAAAACACAAATACCTTGAATTATATAAAGGGTGTGTTTTTTTTCCCTGTTGCAATATTGCTATAAACCAACCAACTCATCATGCTCATGGCACACTGGAAAGTAATGCTATTTAGTAGTTTAAAACAAAGAAATAAAAACAAAAAAAGAACTTGTTGTATATTCTAGTCTACAAAATTCAAAGCAGTGTTTTTCTGAGGTTGATAGAAAGAAGAGTACACAGAAGTAGGTATACTGAGTAGAAATGAGCATGAATGAGCAAGACATACTTCTCCAATATTCTTCAGATATGTCCCTCCGTGTTGTGAGTTTCCATGATGATAACAAATGTGTGCTGAATTATGTCATTTCTTTCACAGAAATGAGTGCAAACCCTCTTGACAACAATGGGATAGAACCAGGAGCATTTGAAGGAGTGACAGTATTCCATATCAGGATTGCTGAGGCAAAACTAACCTCAATCCCAAAAGGTTTGTATTTGTTTTACTTAAAATACGGCATTTTAAAAGGCACCATCTTTTAAATGAGTATACATTGTTACATGGTATTACCATATATTAACTTGTAGTATTTAAAACTTTACAGTATATATTGCCAGAACTACACTACAACCAGAAATCCCAGTGCTAATATCTGACCAGAGGAGTATGACATTTAGTCCTTTTTCACATATAAACAGAGAACCATATGTAGTAATCTTTTTGATAACATTAAACCATAATCTTTTCCCCCAGTAAGAATAAACATCAAAAAGCAATGAGCTTTATATTTTCCTTCTCTTTTCTGACATTTATTCATATAAACCTGTCAATCCACAGTTCTATAGAGATAGAGAATTCTACTGTAGAGTACAAAGCAGAGCATGTTGAATGGGGCCAGACCCTTATCCTTAGTTGTGCTGTTGCAGCTGAGGTGGACAGAGACTGTAAGGCCAAATGGGGGTGGCACTGGCTTTGGCAAGAAAGATATATCACAAAGTGCTCTGTGACATCTTCCCAGGGGTATGGTGAAGACTAATGTGCTAATATACAGAAAGGCTTGGAGACAGTATCTGAGACATAGTCTATGACAACCACCTTACTAGAAGGAGCCTTGCATCAACAGTCCAGATTAATGGGACCTCAAGCAGGCACTCCAAGGAGAAATGCTCCTTCACTGTCCTAGATAACTTACATCCAAACTTGCTACCTGATAACTAGCTGGGTAGGACTGACTGCTTTTCTTGGAACTCAGGCTCACCCTTTTGCTTTCCTCATCTCCAACAAAGGCTTCTTTACTGTGTTGATGACTAACTGGATCAAAAATATCTCATATTAATAACATTTTTCAATTTCAATAGTAATTTCACTATCTACCAGTAAAAACAGCAACTTGTCCCGTTCTTTTTTTTTTTTGGTTTTTCGAGAGAAGGTTTCTCCATGTAGTTTTGGTGCCTGTCCTGGATCTCATGCTGTAGCCCAGGCTGGCCTTGAACTCACAGAGATCCACCTGGCTCTGTCTCCTGAGTGCTGGGATTAAAGGCGTGCGCCACTGCTGCCTGGCCACATTTCCTTTCTTGATTGTAAGCTGGCAGAGGTTACAGGGAAAACAGAACAAGGAAAGAAGTGAAGGCAAAGGGAAGAGACAAAGGAGGATTTGATGAATCCTGTCAGCCCACTTGACAGGATGGGTGATATCAGTGGGTGTGGCCATTCTTTCTTATACTGCATATACCCTAATTACAATTTCCTTCAAATATCAAAGCATAATTTAATTTTCAATATCATTTCAGAGCTTAAGAAATTATATCTTGACAAACAAACCAGAATGAAATGTCTCAACTTACATAACTATTCTGTCACTATCTCTCTGGCATTAAGAAACCATTTCTTGAAAACAAAGTTATTTACTAGAATCTGACAGTCAGCATGTCAAACTTCTATCATAATGTAACTTGCAGCAGGGTGAAATGGCAGCCATCCCAGGAACTCTTACCAGGAAGAGTTAACAGGAGGAAAGTAGAAAAATGTCTTTTTTCCAGTTTGTGTGGGAAATTCATAATCCCATGTGGGTGGGGAGTATTTGTGGTAGGAACAGATATTGCTCTCCAAAAGCATGTTAATATACTGATAATGAAAAGATCTACTGATAATGAAAAGATATTTCAATTTCATTCATCATTTTCTAACATTAATATGGGAAGGGAATGTTTCGGCTAAAGTTAAAAATGGTAAGTTTTTCCAGCAAGGTAACTAGAATCATAGGCTGACAAACAATACATTGAAATATGACGACCACAATGAGGTTTGCTTGAGTGCCCTAGTCAGCCTCTTTCATACCAGGTACAAATGCGGAGGGGTAGGCTCTGGGTGTGCAAGTGTGAAAAGAACAAGAACAGATGGTCACAGGTCACCTGCCATGTGCAGGGGCACTGAAGCTGCATTTCTGATATAAAATAACTATTATTAACTGAAAGAGTAAGTGTTGCAATGGACTAAACAATGCAAAAGAGTAAAATCTTGTTTACTCATGATGTTAAGAAGCAAATGACTTAACAGGTAACCTCTGGGCATTGTATGAATTTGCCTGAAAGAATCAAACTTGCCTGCTGCCTTTTCTGTAAAAAATGTTACCAAGTAAATAAACAGTCACAAAATTATTGAGAAAACAATTCCAGCTAACAAATTATAACTAAAGACAATATAATAAAGCCACCAAAGTACAACAATGTACATGTAGTGTTAGCTATTTTGGAAGCTAAGGTAGGCCTCTGGCTTGCAACCAGGAATTTGTGGTCAACCTGAGGATCCTAGGTGGACACCATCTCAATCAACATTTCCAGTTTTAGTAAAGAACAGACCAAGGCAACAACTATCAATGCCTAGAGCATCAAATGAAGGATGACCTATCCTATCTGAGTGAGTCTCTGGATCTGAGGGCCAAGTCACAGAAATGAAGAGGCAGGGTCCTGATAAACAGTATCACCTGAAAGCTGCCAGCGAAATCCAAAGGATGAACATCTCAACCAAATCAGTCTCTCAAAAAAAAATCAATAGAAAGGGAAGAAAATAAAAGAATATGTTATTCAAGGTGTGCGCGCGCGCGCGCGTGCGCGCGCGCGCGTGTGTGTGTGTGTGTGTGTGTGTGTATGTGTGTGTGTGTGTACGTATGTAGAGTTGTATATTAATTGTTAATACTAAAAATCTGAGGATCAAACCCTGGACCTGGTGCTTAGCTAGAATCTCAGTCCTTGATTTGAATTTTTTGAGATAGGGTTTCTCTGTGTAGCCTTGGCTGGCCTGAAATTCACTTTGTAGACAAGACTGGCCTTGAACTCACAGAGATCCACCTGCCTCTGCCTCCCAAGTGCTGGGATTAAAGGCATAAGCCACCACCACTGGCTTAATGAAAGAGTTTTTTGTTTTTTTTTTTTTGGTTTTTCGAGACAGGGTTTCTCTGTGTAGCTTTGCGCCTTTCCTGGAACTCACTTGGTAGTCCAGGCTGGCCTCGAACTCACAGAGATCCGCCTGGCTCTGCCTCCCGAGTGCTGGGATTAAAGGCGTGCGCCACCACCGCCCGGCATGAAAGAGTTTTTAAAAGGATGCACTTGAAATATCTAATTCCGCAACTGGAAACTTGGTAAACAGTTACTGAGGCTTGGCCTTACTTCATCTAACATACTTCTTTTCTTTTTAGGCCTACCACCAACCTTACTTGAGCTTCATTTAGATTTTAATAAAATTTCAACCGTGGAACTTGAAGATTTTAAACGATACAAAGAACTACAAAGGTAAAAGTTCCCCAAATCTTCACTGAAATGTGATAGCATATATGACCAATACATTAAAGAAGTTTTAGATAATGTACAGGGACCCTACTCAAGAATGTAAAGAGAAAATAAGGAGAGACCCACTGTTATGTCTGCCTATGCTAATAGGCTCATATCCTATATAAGGTTGTAGGGGTTTTGGCAAACTCTTATCAAATCTAACCACTATAACATTTTATATCACCTATAGGCTGGGTCTTGGAAACAACAGAATCACAGATATTGAAAATGGAAGTTTTGCTAATATACCACGTGTGAGAGAGATACACTTGGAACACAATAAACTAAAAAAAATCCCTTCAGGAATACAAGAGTTGAAATACCTCCAGGTAAAAAATTCTACTTGTGTTTGGTAGATAAGGGCATTTTAGTTGTGTAGAAAATACTAGTGTATCTCAAGCAAAGATCCAGTGAGTAACAAGAAAACTTTGAACATAAAGACTCCAGTGATATGGGTAGGAGATTGTGAGAATACTTTCTCAGAAAGATATCACTCAAGAAGAATAGGACCCTCTCCATCTATACTTCCACTTAACTCAAACTGCTGAGGTCACTGTAATAAGCTGTTCACCAAGCAAACATCAGGTTGTTGAAGTTTCTCAAGTCAGGACACTAAGCCCAATCATCTGTTCCTTTTGTTCTATAAACATTCCACAAGGCAAAGCAAGTAAATTAGGATCCAGGTGCTAGGTTAGAAGTGGGTATACAGTTTTAAACATTCACATCAGAAAATGAAATTAACTGAAAAATCACTATTTGGAGCATGTATTGGTTTTCTTTTTATTGCTGTAATAAGACACCATGTACAGGGCAACTTATAAAAGAAAGAGTTAATTGGGCTTATGGTGCCATCCGTTAGAGTCTATGATGGTAGAGTAAAGCCATGGCAACAGGTGGCTGGAGCAGCAGCTCAGAGCTCACATTCTGATCCACAAGCGGGAGGCAGAGTACACTGGGAATGGTGGGAGTCCTTTGAATTCTCAAAGACCTCTCTCAGTAATACACCTCCTACAACAAGGCCATATCTCCTAATCTTCCCAAACAGTTGCACCAACGAGGGGCCAATTATTGAAACATATGAGCCTATGGGGACCATTCTCATTCAAACTACTACAGAGCATAAGAAGTTCATATAGGACCACAGATGTAGTTCAGTGGTAGAGTGCTTACATACAATGTGTGAAGCAATGGATTCAATTCTCAGCACCCTCACACTCTCTAAGAAGCTCACATTTTGTCATCTGCTGACAGAAGTCACCAAAAATGAAGACGGTATTTTACGCAAAATTCTAGAGCTTTTAGTTTCCCTAATTCTCATCTATGGCCTTCAGATTTAAAAAAAAAAAATCCCTATTTCATCTAAGTGGTGGTGGTGTACGCCTTTAATCCCAGCACTTGGGAGGCAGGGGCAGGTGGATGACTGTGAATTCAAGGCTAGCCTGGTCTACAGTGTAAATTCTAGGGCAGCCAGGATACACAGAGAAACTCTGTCTCAAAAAACAACCCCCCCCCAAATAAATAAAATAAAATCCCTATTTCACTTCAATCTGTTTTCCCCAAGGCCTTTCCTTACTGTGCACAGGCTTTTCTCTCAAGTAGCAAAACAAAAATAACTAAGAATTGATTACTACTTGCAGTAAATTTTCGTTTTTGTAGCTCCTTTTGAGACAGGATCTCATTATGTAGTCTAGGTTGCTCTCAAACTCACTATGCAGTATAGACATTTTTAAAACCCATAATTCTCCTTCTTCATTCAACCTCTTGAATGCCAATTTTACATGTATATACCACCATGCCTAGACTTTTTCTTATCTTTAAACAAGTTTTGTTCACTGCATTCTGCAGACTTAAGCCACTAAAGAATGGACTATGTGTAGATGTGGATTTCTGCAGCCATGAGCACAGCCTGGTTTTCTCAAGCCATGCCCTATCCCCATCCCAATTTCCACATCTGCAACTCTGCACTAACCAGGATATCTTGGTTTTTCATTCATCTATTTCTTACATGCTACTTTTGTTAGCATTTCATAGTGGACAAAATTTTAACATAGAAAAAAACACAAGTCCCAAATGGATAATAAATAATCTGCAAAGTAAACAAATCTATATCTAGCTTGGTTTACACTGATTGAGCTTACCGCTGTAAATAATACCTTGCTATGATACTGAGCAGTGGGAGATATGAGGAAACAATCTTTCACAGTATCCCAAGACTGATATAGAACAGAAGAGAATTGAAGACCAAACATAGACATTTTAGACAATGTCTGTCCAGGTTTTTCATTAACAGGTTCTAGATTAACCTTGGCAAATGAAAGCAGATTCTATAGGTAATAGGAATAAATATTCTAGCATTGCCAGCAAAAGGCATTTCATATTGCATGGTAGTGACTACAGGTATGAGGTGGGGGAAATAGAAGGAAAGAGCAATGTAGTAAAATGACCAGACAGTATATTCTGGATGGTGACACAAGTTCTATGTGACAAAGTTCTCCCCCAAACACTTGCATAATACCTAAATTTGACTTGGTATGACAAGTATTCAACATCTATAAATAAATATATCTTATGAGAAGATACTTTCATATCAATGTAAAGGAAACAGATGAAGCCAGGCGGTAGTGATGCACACCTTTAATCCCAGCATTCCAGAGGCACAGGCAGGCGGATCTCTGAGTTTGAGGACAGCCTGGTCTACAGAGTGAGTTCCAGGTTAGCAAGGGCTACACAGAAAAAACTTGTCTCGAAAAACAAAAGCACAAACAATAATAACAAAAAAGGTAAACAGATAAATAAAGCCATAAATCATAAACAAATGCTGGCCATATCCAAGAACAGTGGTTTATACCTGTAATCCCATGTACTAGTCAGGAGGCTGAGGCCATAAGATCAAAAGTTTAAGGCCAGTTTTGTAATGTAGCAAGATTTTGTCTCAAATAAAAATAATAAGGATTGGAAGTGCAGCTTAGTAGTAGAATATTTCTCTAGCACACATGAAGTCCCATGTTCAAGATTTAGCAACCCTTCTAAAACCTAACTATTAATAAAACACATTCCTTTCATATTTACTGGGCATTTAAAATTCATTCTTTTCTTTTCCCCCACAACAGATAATCTTCCTTCATTATAATTCAATTACAAAAGTTGGGGTGAATGACTTCTGTCCGACAGTGCCAAAGATGAAGAAATCATTATACAGTGCAATAAGTTTATTCAACAACCCAGTGAAGTACTGGGAAATACAACCTGCAACATTTCGTTGTGTTCTCGGCAGAATGAGCGTTCAGCTCGGGAATGTTGGAAAATAGTAATTAATGATATCCACTGAATATAATATTCAAAAATTTATACATTTGGAATACTTGAAATGTACTAACAATGGTAGCATGATTCACATAAGCAAAACTCTATTCCATATGGTCAATGACAAAAAATTTCAACAGAATTTTGCCCAACTATCGATACTCAGAATAAACATCTATTACAGTGTCCCTTTGCACATGAATGGTTGTGTGTAAATCTGTTGCTTAAGCATTCTTTTCTCAGAAATAAAAAGATACTCAGTATTTAACTCTTCCTTATCAAGTGTCTCAAACAGAACTGTACTGTAAACAGAATGCTTGACTTAGTAATATCTGTCCTTTCCTTGCTATTAGAAAAACAAAGCTGGCAAGAACAGCAACATGAAGACTACACACATTTTTAGTATCTTTTTAATAACTTGGATAGTACTGGATTATATAATTTGACAAATTATATATAATATATATAATTTGACAAAAATCATATAGAAATTCCTGACTCATAAAACTTCAAGTATTCACTTTCAACTCAACAGATAATGTTCGTTAGAGTTGGTTTTGGAGGTATAACACATGACTTTCTTTTTTTAATTATTATCTGGTTATAAAACTATAAAATGTAATGATTGCTTATATAAAATGTATAATGTACATTTTTATGATCAGCTATATAAGCTTTTAAGAACACAGCAACTGTTAGGTTACATAGTGTCCTTACTTCAACTAGGAGCATTTCAGGATGTCCCTTTGGAAAAGCATGGATGCCTATCAATTCCCTACCAGTTTGTCTCCTCCAACTTGTCTCTTCAAATATGCAGACTGGATAACTCAGAGAAACGCATCTAGGCTGACAAAAACTGAAAACTCTGAATAAAACTTAAGAGTACTTTCATGTGTTTATTTTACTGATATTCAATCTGAATTAAGTAAAATTTGAAAATAAGGAAACATTATTAAAATATTAGTTTTAAGTAAAACATATGTGCTTTGGTACCATTTGTCTCCCCCCAAATCAGAAGCATACATACTTTTTTTTCTTTAAAAACTGAATTGTTTTAGTATTTTATGTGTATGGGTGTTTTATTCACATGTGTATAAGCACCACTTGCTTGCCTGGGGCCAGAAGAAGGCATTGGATTCCATGGAACTAGAGATATAGACAATTATGAGCTACCATGTGGGTGCTGAGAACCAAACTTGGGTCCTTTGGAAGAGCTGCCAGTGTGGGATGGTCTGTATGGCAAATGTGTTGCTGATTGGTCAATAAATAAAACACTGATTGGCCATTGGCTAGGCAGGAAATATAGGCGGGACAAGGAGGAGAATAAAGCTGGGAAGTGAAAGGCTGAGTCAGAGAGACACTGCCAGCCGCCATGATGACAAACAGCATGTGAAGATGCCGGTAAGCCACGAGCCATGTGGCAAGGTATAGATTAATAGAAATGGATTAATTTAAGCTGTAAGAACAGTTAGCAAGAAGCCTGCCACGGCCATACAGTTTGTAACCAATATAAGTCTCTGTGTTTACTTGGTCGGGTCTGAGCGTCTGTGGGACTGGCAGGTGAGAGAGATTTGTCCTGACTGTGGGTCAGGCAGGAAAATTCTAGCTACACCTTACATTTATTTTAAACTACCTCAAAACCTAGACTTCAAATAAATTTTTTTTTTTTGGTGGGAGGAGAAGAACAATGTTATAGATATATAAGGGGTGGAAGTTGAACACCAAGGTGAAGAACGGGTAAAGAACATTTCAGTCTTCAAGGCAGGTTACGCAACTTCAGCACCATTGGTATTTTGGGCCACCATTCTTGGGGATGGGGACTGCTACACACACTGCAGAATGCTAGCAACTCCCCTGTCTCTACTCCTACAAGTAATAATATCTGCCTTTTCCGCCTACTACCACTGTGGAAATGCTGTAGATGATAGCAATATAGGAATATACCTGACATCTAAGATGACATCACTTAGGAAACCTAGACTAAATCTGCTGCTTTGTAAAAATTGTAGAGGAACATAGTGAGATCTAAATAGCAAAGGCTTATCACTAGTATAAGTGTACAGAAAGAGGAGTGCAGGACTTTGAGTCCTGTTTATAGTCTGGAGCAGGCCACCCACTTAGAGTTTGCTTCCTCATCTGCAGATAATACAGATGTGACAACATCGATCAATGAAGTTGCTATGATTACTAAATAAGAGTGTATGAGAAGTGTTTGCAAATCATAAATGTTCATAAAACATGACCATCTATTATTGCACTGTGGGCTGATGAAAAATCTAAAACATATGAATTCCTTAAAAATAAAATATTATAATGGCAATTATTCTAAATTTAAAAGTTTAAAGATTTTGTTTTTATTTTTACTTCTATGTATGTGTGGGTGCCATGTGTGTGGAGGTACCTGTGGAGTCCAGAAGAGCAAGTCAGATCCCCTGGAGCTGAAGTTGTAGGTAGTTGTTATCTGCCCAAAATGGGTGCTAGGAATTGAACTATGGTTCTCTGAAGAGCTCCAAGCACCCTTAACCACTGAGCTATTTTTATTAGTCCTTCAAAAATTAAAACATTTTAAAGTTCCAGTTGTTTCAATGAAATATTTTTCTGCAATATAATATAAATAGTGATGTCACAGCACTAATAAGAACATATGTAAAAATCAAATATTTAATGACATTGGAAAAGGCAGTTCTTCAAGTTAGTAATTAAAATATGGTTAACAAGATCAGAATCATGTTAACAGGTAAGTCTATAAAGAGCAGTGGTGCTTAAAGAGTTAACAATGTTTCTAAAAAGAAAAGACAGAAGAAAAAAATTTAACAGTGGAAACAATTCTTGAATTCTTGCAATTAACTTGGTACAGTTAATATTTGTGTTTTCCACTACACAACTGTTAGAAATTTTGGGTTTAAGTTCATTAAAACAAATCATTAATAAATTCTTAAGCTGCCAGACCTGCATTAACGTTTTCTGCCATAAACATATTTTAATAGTAAGTACAAAATTTTGCCTGCTTGAAATTGACTAAAGACTGAAAACAGGTGAGTTATTACACCTAAATAGGTATATAAAGGAATTTTCACATAAAGAAGAAGTCTCAATGATATTCTACCTATATTTCATGCCAATTACTACAAATAAGTTCACTAGACTTCATGAAATACGATTCAAGAAAATCATCTACTGAAGTAAAACAAAAACTATTTTAAAGCCTCAATTTGTTTACTCTTGAGCTATCACACCACTTTTCTTTTATTCATAATTCCTTCATTTTTTTCAATGTGTGTATAATGTTTGTTTACATACTTGCGGTTGCACACTAGGTAAGAATGTAGATAGAGGCTGAGGTATTCTTCCTAAATGGCTCTCCACCTTACTCACTGGGGCAGTTCTTGCTAGTCAGCTACCCAGGTGTTCTAGGGAACCATCTTCACCTTCTGAGCACCGGAATTCCAAGGGCTGCTGTGGTGGTATTGTTTCCCGAAATATTGTGCACCCTAATAAACTTATCTGGGGTCAGAGACAGAACAGCCACAATATTAAACATAGAAGATAGGCAGTGGTAGCACACGCCTTTAATCCCAGCACTTGGGAGGCAGAGCTAGGCAGAAATCCATGTGTTCAAGGATACAGCCAAGCATGGTGACTCACGCCTTTAATCCCAGAAAACGATGGTAGAAGGCAGAAAGATATATAAGGCGTGAGGACCAGGAACTAGAAGCATTTGGCCTGGTTAAGCATTTGGCTGGTTAAGCTTTCAGGCTTCTAGCAGCACAGTTCAGCTGAGAGCCATTTGGATATGAGGACACAGAGGCTTCCAGTCTGAGGAAACAAGACCAGCTGAGAAGTTGGCCAGGTGAGGTTAGCTGTGGCTTGTTCTGTTTCTCTGACCATCCAGCATTTCACCCCAATAACTGGCCCCGGGTTTGGTTTTACTAATAAGAACTTTTAAGATTCCTGCTACAGGCTGCCAAGCGCACCTGGCATCCTCACACTTGTATGGCAAGAGCTTTACTTGCTGAGCCATTTCTCCAGTCCCCACCCCTTTTGGAAAGAATTCCTGCCTTAACTTCTATTAACTTCCTATCCCATGGGCTCTTAAACTACTTCAGCTGACCTAATGATTCTTGTGAATCTATTTTCATGTTGTACAGATAACACTAAACAACAATAGCTGGTATTTGAAAGAGTATTTTCAAACTCTACTAAGTGTTTTACTTGTATTCTTTAACTTAGCTAAAAGATAATTACATGAATCAGGTGTGGAAACTGAGGAACAAAGATTTAAATAACTTAGGGCACATGGGATTTGAATCTAGTGTCTAAATCTATGCTTTAACTATGACAGTATACTATCTTTTCATGGTGTTTTTATACTTCTAGGAAGTATTTTCATACTTGACTAACACTAACCAGGTCTTTCTGGTTGCCTTTTTGTGGCTGTTTCCCAATACACTTCTTTTGGCCCCTTTTCTGTGTCCCATAACAATTTTGTTTCTATCAATTTAGCCATTACTAAAAACCCAAATCCACATCTCAGATTCTAACTTTTCACACAAATAACTACTTTTGAAAACCAAAATATTATGTACCACATAATCAAAACTAGTATCATAAACAATTTCCTTCAAATTTATACTGTCTCTCTTGATCCTTTTCTTTCCTCCCAGGTGTTCATGGCTCTAAGATTCAAGTGACCCTCTTGCAGCTCCATAGCCAACCTGGAACTAATTTCTGCCTTGTCTTCTCACATATATGCCTTCCTTTTTTATCTGAGTCATACTACTTAATTTGCTACCTGAAATAGGCTCCTGATTTCATCTTGCTTATTCAACTCCACAATAAACCAAATTGATCTGTGTACATCTGAAATGATCATGTCATTCTTTTTCACCAACGTTTATAATAGTTCCCACTGGTGACTGAATTATAAAAATTATGATACTTTCCCAATGTCACTAAATATTTGAATTTTACACATATTCTTACCTAATGTAAGACTATCACCTATGTGGAAGTTTGAATAGGAATAGCCCCATAGGCTCATATATCTGAATATTTGGTCATTAGAGAGTGGCAATACTTGATATGGATTAAAAGATGTGGTCTTGTTGGAGAAAGTGTGTCACTGGGGTTGGGCTTTAGGGTTTCAAAAGCTCAAGCCAGGCCCAGTGTCTCTCTCTCTCTTCCTGAGACCTGCTG